CCCATTTCCGGTCCCCCCAGTTGACAAGCGGAAGTGTGCAAGGAAGGCGCGGAGGACGCGACCAGACGCCATGATTAAAGCGCGCTTCCTGCGGTCCGTGACCAGTGTCGCCTGGTTTGGAGGATTAGGAAAATGCGTTGAAGTTCATCGTGGAAATGAAACTGGCATTGGCTCAAACGCGTTAGTTTTTAATACAAGTGTTATATTATTCCATTTTTCATTCCTTTTTCCTTTGATATTAATCTTGGCCGCACAAAGCTGTAGTCTGAGTATACTCGTACTTTAACGTATTGAAAAAACTTGATGCGCAAATGTAAATGAACAACGTTATTTCAGAGTGAACAATAAATATAATATAATCGTAACAGTGCGAACCAAAAAAACTCTTAGGAATATGTTCAGGAATTTTGTTTACTCCAGCATTTCTTGGAATCCTTGCTAAGGAGCATGTAATCAACAGAACTTTTTGGGTCAACTCTGTGATGCATTTTGTATAATCTTTCGATTTGCTACGCCGCTTTCTTTCAGTGCAGCTGGCACTGGGCCTGACCAGCAGAACTTCGCGACGGCGTCTGTCAAAGTCAGCGGAACTCAATTGCATTTTACTCCGCAGCCGCGCCCTGCCATATTTCCACGGTTTTAATTGCTCCGGGGCTTCCCCTCGAGGCTCCCCTCCCACTGCGGTATTTCTGTCTTTTTATCCCCGTATTTTATTTAGTGCAGCACATGTCCGGTCCGCAGGCAGTTCTACTCCGCGGGCTTGGTGTGTGGCATTGGCTGTCGGGGTCGGGGATGCACGGAAAAAAACACTCCTTCGCAGAAGTGGTTCAGCCGACATGGATGAATGCGCAATGGGTGTATGAATAAAAGCGAGTATGTTGCAATTGTACTTTTTGCACTGACCTGACCATCGATGCGGGTGTGCCAAGCTGGCAGCTTACGACGGAGCCCTGGTGTTTGGCGAGCGGGCATGCCGCACACCCGCCACATGCGACATGGATGTAAGCCCCGCAGCCCCGTTCACACAAGCCCCAAAAAGTATGCTAACACTTTTGTTTAGAACAGAATACTTCGGGATTAAAATGGGATTTTGCGACTGGCAGCAACTCGATGATTCCAAATCTAAACCTATGTCAATGCTGACAAATGAATTGGCGAGAAGTGCTCACATAAGGGTAACAGGATTAAGAGCGGAAAAAGATACATACTTTTAACTGAACCAGTGATAAGCGCTGTGTAATGGCAAATGCAATTGCATGGAAATCACCTCAAGCTCACATTTACTGAAGACTGGAGACTCTGGAAATGTATCTATTTGTAGATGCTTAAGAACGGCAAATTGCTTTTCTTCGGTATCCAGGTATCTGCGGCACGACGGTCCGCCTTTTTACCGCGGCTTGTCCCAAAAAAGTGCGGCATATGTGCCTGAAATACGAGCATTGCTGCTGACAGGACTCGGCTACTGGGTTCAGCATCCAGGACTCGCATTGCCGACGGCCTCTGTGCACTCAGCTAAAACGAAGCAGAGGATAGTGGGTTGTGTGCATTGCATATTGACAATCATGCAGCGGTTTTTTCGCAATTCGCTGGCTGTTTGTATTATTGTCAGGCGAAAACAATTGGGGAGTTACTGCGAGGCGGCCCACGCATCGGATAAACAATAATGTCAGTTGCATAAAAGCAAACTCTGGTTTGTCTGGTTGCCATTCAAATTCGGCGGGATAAATATTTTCCGCACTCGACGCCCTGAATGCCAAAGGGACGTGCAGTCGATTGAATATATTCCACTTTATGCATGGCTTGGCTGTACTGACGGATTTATTTCTGCCGATCAAATCAGGCACGTTAATTAAAGCCTTGTTCGTCTTTGCCTTTTTTGGAGTCTGTTTGCACACGGACGCGGGTCCTTTGCATATGCGTATGCATTTAAAAGTTAAATTAAGTCTGAACATTGCGAGTGCGATTGCGATTGCGATTGCGATGGCTGGTCCTGCAGGCATCTAAATAAATTATGTATGGGTGACATCAATTGATTTGCAATTATTTATTTAATGCCCACTTGTATGCACGTATGCGGCAGAAGACTACTCAATCATTCATGGCGAAAATATCTCCCAATTGGTGTTTTATCAAAGGAATGAAATTTAATTGTCACGAGCTGAAAACAATTTGTAAATTTATGAGTGCTAATTGTAGTTTATTCAAGAGAAGTGCGCATCCAAAAGTATTGCCAAGGAACTATTTCAACATTTTTGTGTGTCCCATTATTAAATCCCAAAAGAACATTTATTTTACTTGCTTTCTTGCTTACAAAGACAATGTATTAAATCCTTGCTAAACTAACAAACGGCTCTCTTTTGTAATAAACATAAAAGCACTTCCATTAATGGATTATATTCGCGCTTTTATTAAACGATTAATGATTATTTGTTTTTGCCTGATTATACCCATTAAATCATATTTATGCGGCATTTGCGTGATATAAAAGCAAAACACTTTTCCGATATGAATAAAAATGTGTCTTAATGGAGTGTTTTTTGCAAACATAAATCTTGTTTTACTAATTAAAATTCAAAGGCGAGCTAAGGTAGGTAGCCCCTCCACTTTTGAATAAATAAAATGGGCATTGATGTGCTGGAAAAAATGATTTTTTGGTCCGCGATCAGAGTGAGTTGGCCATTAAACAGGCCCACAAGCTAAAGGCCATAAAAAACCCAATATGCTGCTGTTTTATTTGATTTACTTTTATTATTGCCCTGCCCAAAGATAGAGGACGCTGGTCCAAAGTACCACCGTACCAAAGTATAATGATTTGGCGGTCCAATTTTAAGCGCCAAAAGAAGGCAACACGAAAATGGTTCTGTGTCGGACATTTATGTGCTAGGTTTTATGGCAATTTTGTTTCGGCTAAAACAATAAGAGGACCAACATGCACATAAACATCTAAACGCGCGAGGACAAGCTGAATCGGAATCTGGTGCTCATTGTGTGCGAGTGGAGCGGACGGACGCATAATCTAATAATATTTTATGTGGATAGCATAAAAAGCACGACACTTGGCAGTCCGTTGAACTCCCCATCTGTCCATGTTCGTCCTTTTTTTACCCCAATGTCAAAGGGCGGCAGGATGACTAACAAAGACTGAGAAATCCAAGCCAATTTATTGAAGTTTTTGACTCTGGCCAAGGGCCATTACGAGCAGAGAGCAGGCGGATGTCCAGCTACCCAGATACCGAGATACCCAGATTCCCAAAATGAGAGTTTCATGATGATGCCTTGAAAACACACTCGAAGACACACACACACACACACACCGCCATTAACGGCGCAATTAGCATTCAGATTGCGTATACGCCGTGTAAGCTGCACTATTTATTTGCGCGCTTCATTTGCATTTTCATTAGTTTATTATCCGAGCATTGTAGAAACTATTAACGCGCTCCGGGCATTAAAGCCAAATGAGCTGCAAATAATGGCGATATGGGGCTCTATTCAAGTTTTACGAGCAAAAAGGGACAAACTATGCTTTTGCAGTAAGCGGAAATCGCTCGTGAAATATTATTCTCCATTTTCCACTGAACATTTCACTTGACAAGTGCTCGGCAGTGGATAAGTGGATAAAATGATAACTTGGCCAATCGGTTGATTATGACCATCTAAATATAAACTCGGCAAGACAAAAGCTTTAGAGAAGATTTGTGAAATGAATAAATAAAAACGCTAAATGGCCAGAGAGTAAAAATAAACGCCAAGCGAATTGGGAACGCAGCAAAGCCAGGCCAACAAATATAGGCACATATATTCTCCCCTCTATTTAATAAGATATACGAGGTGCACATACATATATGTCCCTGCCTCTCTGTCGGTCTGTCTGTCTGTCTGTCTGTCTGTGACTGACACATACCTTTGCCCCTGCATGTGTGTGTGGGCGTCTGACTCCCGCGTGAGTGTGTGTGTGATGCCCGAAATGGCACCAGCTCGTGTGACGTCACAACTGTGACAGAGATACCGCGGGGAAATTATGCCAATGATTAGCCAGCGCTTCGTGATTACGTCCATCCTAACGATCATGATGACGACGCCGGTGGTCATGATGGTGGCGACGATGGCGATGATGATGAGCCAGTAATGACGTGTCAAACGGCTGGCGACACACCCATGCACACACACACACATACACACACACACTCGCACACTTGCAAAGCGCCTGGCATATGGCAGAGGTCAAAATTGGCTAATGGCCTTTTGCACCCATTCCGCCGGCTAATTTAGAAAGTGGTACATTTTCCGGGCATTTCAGGCACTAAGAGCCGTGGGAAAAATTCCATTTCACTTCGCATCAATTCGAAAGCTTTAAAGTCACGCATATTGAAAAAAATGTCTCATTGAAAAGTGCAAAATATTCGAAATGCAAACACAAACACAATAATTTATAATGATATATGGGCTCATATGAAAAACAGATAATGAATAGGAACCATATTTTAAATTCCTATTGAACACCAATGATGTTTTTAATAAAGCTAAACAAATTCAATTAATAACTTCATAACGACATAACATTTTAACAGATTTCATGTTTGAGCTTCATTACTTGCCTTTCTCTTCTATATTATTTTGGCGAGCCTTTAGTATTCCCTCTGCTGTTTTAGACAGCCATCACAGGACCTTTTCGCATTGCCCACTTGAAATGTCTGAAAATATACACAGGATGTGTGCGGGGGTGTGAGTAGGTGGTAGATAACATTTTAAAGCAATTTAGTTTTCATCGCACACATTCAGCGCAAGTATTGATTGCCGATGCCACAATCACGTACGCAGGACCCACGTATTTTTGTGGCAATGTGTGCGTTTTGCCGATAGTGTGGCACTCGCATGGGGAACTCGAACTCGTAATGCAAATGCCATAAATTATGCGCCCGCCCTTTTCCCCTAGGTTCAATCGCATTATGATGGAAATTACAATTTGTCACCATTTGTTATGTATTGCTTACTTTCAGACAAAATGAATATTGGCATCGCAGCACCGAAATGGGATAAATTGTCGCCACGCGAGTTTTTGCAGCTGCAGGAGTTGGCCTCATGTAAGTGGAAAGCAGTAAATCAAATCGCACTAATCAAAAACACACATTTACGAGGGGAGTGCCAGTCATGGCCAATCAGACAGCCTTTTATTTGGCCTTTAGTACTTTTCCTGTGCCTGACAGTTGGGCCAATTAAATTTTCCCCTTTTCCCTTAACTTGCACACTGCAATTCGCCGTACGAAATCGGAACAACCAGCTATCATGCATAACTTTCCATCACAAGCTGAAGAAATAAAGTTTTGGACTATTTACTGTGCTAGATAATGATAGATATTGATGATAATGATACAATTCACTTAACTTAGAGAACATATCCGATCGATCGAATCGATTAAGAGGGACCTAAAACCTGCAGATTATAGACTAATAGTTTTTGATATAGTAGTTTCACTTGGAACTGGCAATTCCGGCAGATTTCCACGACAGCCAGAGCTTTAGAAGGGCAACTTAAAGAGCGATTTCGGTCAGCATCCTTTCCACACATCTGCCGCACATCGCCTTCAGTTATGTCTGACACTGTTTGCATTCTTTGCTGCAGCAGCAAAGCTGTTTGACATGGCAAAGTAGTTTACCTTTGGGTGAGCACTTCGCTTCACTTCATCTCGCCGGCTGCCCGGCGGAGGGAGTTACTGGGAACGGCAAATGGGAATGCTGAGCTTATAGATTATGGGATGTTACACGGAGCACACACTGCGTCAGGATGCTGAACTTGGAGCACTTTTAAGCTCCACTCGGAAGATGGAAAGGGCCGCGTTTCAGCCAGAACATCTTGTAGCGCAATGATCCCCTTGAAATCAGAGGAGCTCAGCCAGACAAAATATTACTTTGTAATGCCCTAAACTTCAAAAGGGTACCTCTGCAAGGGGAACTCGTTTGTTATTTACTTCATGCTTCTTTTACATCATAATAATGGCAAAAAAAAGCCATCACCACTGATAATATTACGTAGTAAAGACAGTAGTAAAAGCAATCCAGAACTAAATTGTTAAAAGTTTCAAGTTCATATTTAGTTTAAGAAGAAAAAGAACCGAAACCATAACAATGCGGGCTTAACTTTATCTAAAACAATCGAAGAGTACCAGCTCTGTGAGGGCAATTTGAGATGCTTAGCAATCTTTAAACCCGTTTGGAAGCAGCTGCCATTTGAGACAGTGCCCATTCAGGAGTCCTTTGTGCATCCTGTGCGGCACAGGATATATGGGTGCGCCTGCAGGTGCTTATTAGAGTGCGGTTCAATGTTTTTAGTCTGCGGTGCAGCCCGTAGGAAGCCATCAGAGGTGTCAGTGCCAGCTGGCGTTGCCCAGGAACAGAAACGAAAACTGGAACTGGAACAGGGACTACGACTGTATTCAAGTGCAGACTCAACTCTCATTAGTTTAATAAAGCTGTGGGCGCAACATTTTGGACGGAAGACTCCCCATGGAGGTAATTCTGAGTTTATACACTTGGAGCATGTCAGCCAGCCCGTCGCACGTCGCACTCGCACGAACCACTCGCCTTCCATTAGTTAATTATCCCACTGCGCTGCAGTTCAGCCACCTGAGTCACACACACACCTGTCCGTCCACCTGGGCTGGCCCACTTAAGACGTCGATTTAGCTCAGCTGGCGCTAGTCGAGCGATTGACGTGTGTCCTGCCCCGCACGCAGTCGGTAGCCCGGCTAAACTGAACTTTGCATAATCCTTGGCTTACACCACTCACCTGTGTCCCCTAACTCCTCTTGCTCCTTGCAGATTCCACCCGAAAGCTGCAGGATGTGCTGCGGGAGTTCAGCTCGCCGAGTGCCGCCACCACGCCCAAGTGCATTCCGGATGGGGTAAGTGTTGCCAAAATGTCCTGCTCCGCTCCTGCAATTAATTGAAAGCGGATGACGGGTGCTGCCGTGGAGGAGCGATGAGGGATGGAGGGCAGACCCTGCTCAAGGCGCAAGTCAAGGGCTTCGCTGGCTTCGGGTCGGGTTGTCCCTTACACTCTAATCCTCAGCCTGGCGACTGGGGAAGACCGATGAAAGCGAATCAGCTAAGCTACGGAAACTCACGTGTGTGCACTGGGAAAAACTGAGCACACATCAATAAGTTATAGATATGTTCAGATGGTATTTTTGTGCCAAATGTTAGTATAGAATTATTCCGCGTTAATAGTATGCAAGCTGTTTATTCTTTAGAATAGGTTTTGAGATCCTTACAGTCTGACAGGCTAGTTAGACACTTATTTTGATTTCCCGAGTTTGTTCCTGGAGTAAAATAGATTTTCCACTAGTATGGCTGGACAGACAAGGAGCAGGAGCACTCTGAATAGAAAGTGGGCCAGGGGAAAGGGCATCCAGGTGGGGCGAAAGATTGAAAGTAAATCTTCTTATACGTACAATAAATCACAGACTTTTCAAGTTTACGCCTGAATGCCAAATTGAAATTGAATCCCAACAGAGACAGAACAGACACCGAGCTGCCCGGCCACCCTTGTTCCCGGATCCCGGTTCCCGAATGAATATCCTGACAAGTTTATACATACTGAATTAATTTGAAACTGCCTGCATCGCCATCAATTTGGTTAGAGCAGGAGCCATTGGAGCTGCATAAATTGTTACCGTCTCATCGGGGACAAGGGGATCCAGCTACCCAGCTAGCCCGCTACCCAGATCACCATGGGGTTACCAGGGAGACAAGCGAAGGACGTGCAGTTTGCACAGTAATATACATTTTTAATTTGCGAATTTGGAATCGTGCGAGCCAGCAGCATATATGCAAACGAAATCATTCTCGACTCTCCCTTTGTTTTCCGGTCTATTATTTGTTTTGCCAGCGTAACGAAATGGAAAAAGTATAATTAAGTTTCCGTCACTCTGGCTCACCTCCTGGCTTCCTTCCACACGGAGCTGGACGCGAACGTGAGTGAATGATTTCATCGGAATTCACTTTGATATCGAACACCCTGGCCGGGATGTTCCAGGGTGCTCCTGGCACTCGCTGTTTTCATTGCCTGCATTTTCCGAACGAAAGTAATTCCCGTAAATATTTCAGTTAGCGAAATGAATTGAGATGCCACGACTTGTGCGCTGCCAGGCAACAATTTCCAATTCCTATTCCCAATAAGCAGCTTACACGGCCGTCCTGCTTTAACTTTCCCCTAGCTTGAACTTTCACCCAAGGATCTGCTTAAAGCCCAGGAGCTTTAATTAGGTTCCTTAAGAGCCGCTCGTCCCCAGGTCAGCTTGGCAAAGAAAAATGACACGATTCCCGCTGCTTCCCCTGGCAATTGGTCACTCGGTGGGAATATCCTAAAAACAGCAGGACGAGGAACTGGAGTAGAGCCCAGATGGTCGTAAATTATGCACCGAACATTGCGATGCATAATGAATGCAGAGCGCAGATTATGTTCGCCGTAGAGGAGTGATACTTGTACATACGAGTGCCAAATGGCCCGTATGTGCGCCGCTACCCTGTGTGCGTGTGTGTGATTAGGGGCTTAATGAATATCGCGCATACGCACCGAACGCCCGAAATGTGCTTGAATATTTATTCATTAAGCCACGCGCTCACGCATAGCGTCACATAACGCATCCATGGGAATACCAGCCAGATTGAGGCCAGAATTACAGCGCAGGTCGGTGAAATACTACCGATCATTAGGCCCTTAACATTTTCATGATGATATCTTCACTGAGCTCATGTCAGCTATCTTGTCTTAAAGAATGTACCATTTAAAGTTTCTTATAGCAAATAAAATAGATATTACTATTCCAATTCAATTTACTTAAATCAAAATATATATTTTAAATTGCCTACTCTAAGTTTGCTTATTTATTATGCATTTAGATATTTGTCATCTGTCTATAAATATGTAAAATAATATATAATTAAAATTAAGCCATGAAATATTAGGCACACTGTCTTACTATTGCGCCTCTCAATGTCTGTAAGCAAAAGTTGAAACAGGACCCGCACCTCGAAATGTAGATAAGGAGTAGCGGAGGGAGGAGGGAATCTTCGCACGCGTATCTCGTTGCTCCTTGTTGGCTAAATAAATTTTGCTAACGCAATTCGCGCCATTATAGTGCTGGTGTGTGTGACTCGTTCGCAATTTATGCGTGTGCTTGCGGGAGTGTGCGTATCTGAGTATCTGTGTATCTGCGTATCTGGGTATCTGGGCCCGGGTTTACAATATGCCGATGCTTCTCCACTTAGGCGTGTCGCAGCCATTTGCTTTCACTGGCTTTAAGCAGTTTGCCATGGCACATAGATACATGGTGTAGTGCCAGTATCCACGACGACACGAGCATAAACTTCCATTTGCCTGTATTCGGTTTCATTATGGCCAAGGAAACAGCTAGCAAGTGGTTGGGCACACAGAGAGAAATATTTTAATTATCTTGCTTTCTGGCAAATCTTGCATTCTCAAGACACATTTGGCTTAGAAGTTGATGATACTCTTTGTAGACAATGCAGAATGGTATTCCAGTGAAATTCCCAGTTCGAGATAAATGCTTTATATGAAGAAAGATATAGTACGAGTATAATAACGTATAGCACTTTGTTTTCCGTGCGAGCCCAAACCTCAGCGCCCTCTTAACGCTGGCAGCTCTGGCTCGTTTGCTTTGTTTTATGTTTCGAAATTTAAAACGATGCAAAAGAGCAGCCAGAGCAGCCAGAGGAGCAGCAGCTCGCGAGGAGGCTGATAATAGGGGCAGAAACAAATTAGAAAGAATAGATACACGTGGCAGCCCAGCACCCGCTGATTATTTCGTTACTTGCGACACGACTCACTGCCTCTTGCGCAATTAATCGCACCCAACGCACCCATTCCCCTGCTGTTATCCTTGATTAGCTGCTATCCTCGCAGCGAGGCTGCAACTGGAGCCTCAAACTGGGACTGTAAAATCCGAAAAGCTGCTGTGGGACAACGTCTATCCATGCCAGCGTCTATCAATGTCGCATTGTTGATTCACGAATCGCGCCGCAGCTGTCAATGTGTTGACATTACACGTGGTGTTGACATGTAATTTGCCCCGATTCCCATTCAGCCAGGTTCCATTCCATGCCGCATCCATAAAACTGGGCCAGTACCCCTTGCCAAATGGCAAATAAAGAGGCGCCAGATCTTTGGGGAACATTCCCCGGCACGTACGAGCCGAATGTGTTGAACCTTTTTCACAGACAGACAGCGCTCGGATTTATGTGGGAATATTGTGCACCGGACAAATGTAAATAAAATGGCCTGCCACTCGCCCGCAGGAGAATTATGTATTCCATACGCGTAAAGCGGGAATTTTAAAGCGGAAATCCCAGCTTGGCGTCGCGCATTTCCTCCACTGACATTTGACCTTCAATTAGGCCGCAATCTCAACAGCTTCCTCGTGCATCAGCACCATCATTTAGTCGGAGATAAATGTACTTTCGCCTCACTTGGCACGCAGAGTCGTCTCCGAATATGTCACAATATGGCGAGTACTTATTAATCATACGCTCCGTTGTCAACGTTAATAAAGTCGATGACGGCGGTCGCTCCTCCCTTCCCTGCCCACTAAACAGGATGAGAAATGCGAGGCCCTCATTGGAGGCAACTGCAAAATGTTTTTCGCCATAATAACGTCATATTATGTTATTATATCCTTCCCCCCGCTCCCTGCCACAACAAACTCGATGCCACTCGGGAAACTTTCCCGGAAAACAGGGCGATGCGAAGGAGCGATGCATCGACGAGTGTTTTGCACACATTTTAACTTGTCACTCGTGAATGGCCTGTGGTAGATTTATTACCCAGTCCTGCAGTAGGAGAAGTGAGCAATTGATTGGTGTCCCCGCAAAACGCTTAAAGGGTTCTGAATATTATGTAGCAAGGGCTTAAACTGCGAGGATTCTTCATCTGAATACTTTTTAAGGGCGAATACTTCTCGTTGCTTTGGGATCCAAGTAGCTATGTTACACATGTGCAGAATATTTGATTGGCTGATAATCAGTGGTTGTTCAGCTTCAGATAAGTAAGAGTCATCAAGAATATTTTCTAATATTTCGCAAGAAATTTTGAGAAAAGTTGTGCGCACCCAGGGAAATTATTAAATACTTTCAAGACAAAGGTCGCCATAAATCATTGACTGGAAGCGCTGTATTTATATGTTCCAACTCTTTCTACAGGACATTGATTTCGACGGGTTCCGGCGCTTCCTGGACGCCTTCCTCGACTGCGAGGCGCCGCTGGACCTGGCCAAACATTTGTTTGTGTCCTTTCTTAAGCCGAATGTCACCCAGGCCCAGCTGCATGGCCGGGCACTTAATCAAATGGCCGCCATCAGCAGCACGGCCGCCTGTGCGCCGGTCACGTCGCACACGAAGGGTAAGAGATCCTCCTGGCCAGTGGCCACCCAGCTGACCATACGGACCATACAGACCATACTGCCCAACCCACCCACTCTCGTGTGCATGTGAATAATCGCTGAACATTTCTTTTGGCCCATCCCGCACCCACATCCCGACTGCCTGTAATTAGGCTCCATACCAAACATCAATAGCATTGCCGAGCTGATGCCGCAGTGCAGCGGAGGCGGAGGCGGCGTCGGCGGCACGGGGGGCGTGGCCGGGGCCGAGGGACACGCACAAGCCCGCAGCAGCTTTGTGGACAAAATCCACGGCATCACGGATAAATTACAGCACTCGCTGGGCGGACATCTATCCCACGATCCCAGCAAGACGGGTGAGTAACAGGGGAATCTGCAAGGGACTACGATTCAGGATGAGTTTACAGAATAGTGTTTTTGAAAGTGTGAACGATCTTGATCCTTAAAGAGGACTTTGGCTTTATGTTACTCACGTTAACGTTGAATTTTGCCGAAAAAACTTGTTTCCAATCGACAACAAATTGATACAATTGATACAAAAGGAATACAGAAGTTGTAAAAATATATAAAACATATTAGCAAGAATAATAAATTAAGCAAATAATTCATTGAATCTGTCATGTTCCGTAGTATTGAGTGCCAGTCGAGGCTTAATAGTATGACAACCAGATTTACATTTTGGGATAACACATAGCAGGCTTAAATCTATTTAAAATTAAAATGCAATCTCACTGCTCTCGATGATTAAAAATAGTGATTTGGTTTCCCTTTTAAAGAATTTATTTGTTAAAGCACCTAGTTAATAAGCTTACATGTATATGTCTGCCCTTGGAAACCTACGTAATTTGTGTGTCTGTTTCAACGGACGACGGTCCACTCAACAGGCAGTGTCCATCCGATGCTCACGGTGACGCCGAGTCCCTTGGCCAGCGGACCCAGCATGTTCCAGGCGAGCAATCCGGCACGTCGCTCCGTGGACTCCAGTCCCTCGCACTCGGCCACCAACCACTCGCAGATGTCCCGCAACTCCTCGAAGAAGAGCAGCAATTCGGTTAATTGCAAAATTGATGGTGAGCATTAATTAGACATCTCCGCCACAGAGTGCGCCCATCCGAATGGGAATTCCGATGTGCATGCGACTTCCAATTAGGACGCTTATTGTGCAATCAGCAAGTAATGTTGAATTGGGACAGGGACAGGGACAGGGAGTGGGCTGGAAACCGCACATCCAGCTGATTGGCCAGCCAGCATACGGAACTGGCGAACAATTCAAATGCAAAAATTACCGGCTATGTGCTCCACTTGTTCGGGGAAACTAACTTTTCTGATTGCTTTGTGAATGGAGAGCAGCTTTTGTGGCAATAGTTTTGCATTCAAAAAGTGGTTAAATGGGCGGATTTTAAATGCAAAGGCTGCAATGTGAAAATTGGGAGAGGGTTTTCATAAGTAAACAAGCGTGTTAATATTTATACTATGCATTTAAATGTATACTATTCAATAGAATACATTTAAATGTATACTTATTAATTTAAAGTATGAAGTCCATTTAAATCGTAGGTAAATGCAGCAGGGTGCGTGCTTTCTTGATGTTCGGATTGATAAAGTAAATGGTAGTACCCTTAAGACAAATGGCGTAGTGGCACAGGATGGCAGACTAAGCCAAAAACCCCGCTTACTTGCCATTTACTTAGTTAACTTCCTCGCGAACTTGCTAATTAGTCGAGCGAGTGGAAAAAGCAAATATCAGCGCGGAAGGAAAACAAGGCAGACATTCGCTAATTCATGAGTTCATAAATTATGCGCCCCGGACCGCCGCGCGAATTGCACTCGCTAGAAAAGACGAAACTTGGCACCGGAAGTAAGCCGCCCCTCCTCCGTTTCCCCCGCGAAAACAAGAAGGACAGCTAAAAAACAAAACAAAAAGCCAAGGGTCTCTTGTCTCAGAGATCGTGTCGTAAATCAACGCCCAATTAGAAACATTTCTGCATTTCACGAAGTCGCAACTCGTAAAATGCGAGGCCTGCGTTAAATTAACATTTATTGCTTACACACACAGACACACAGGACACTCGCACGCACACAGACGAAGCGAGGCGCACTTGCGGCCTGAAAGTATGCAGCACCATTTTTCGTTTTTGCGCCCTCGCCTTGTTTTCCTTTTGCCTTCATTCATTTCGCTTCGTTTGAAATGTGCACGAGAATGATTAATGAACGTAAATTTCGCTTTTTTCCTCGCTTTTTTTCGCCTTTGTCGCTGGCCAGCAGTTTCACGCATTTTGCCAGCAATTGGACGGCATTGTCCTGGAAGTTTAGAGAGTGGGAGTACACAGCGGGAAAACAGGCATGAGTTTCTGTCGGCTATGCTTCGTAATTAAACCGTATTAAACGTGCATAACACTTTGCATTTGACTTCTGAAACTGACAATTATATCAAAGTGATTCCTCTAACACGAATAATTATTAAATGAAATGTATGCATGCGGTTGCCTTTGACCACATTAGTAATGTGGCTCAGTAACATTAAGAATAATTGCCCAACAAATTGAACACGATTGCAGGCGATTTTTTGCTCTGCAGTAATTTACGGAAAAGGCCCAGCCAGGAGTTTCCCATTAGCATTATATATTAGGTACAACCAGGACGAGTGTGTGTGTCTGTCTGTGTGTTCGAGCGCCTTAAGCGCTAATTGGATTAGTTTTGCTTTGCTTTTTGTATTCCAACTGCCTGTGTGTGCGTGAATTAAATTTATTAGTCGGAATGTAGGCCGGCAAATAAGTTGACATTGATCCTGCACACACACTCAGCCTGTTTGCAAAACTTCCTGCACTCCTCGCGGAACCGACAGCCTCATTTAGTTGTTAAGAAGTCGGGCAAATATTGGCATTGTATGCGATGCGTGCATATATCTTTTAATTTATGGCGAACAAACGAACCCACAGTGGGCAAACATAATTAGCTAGAGTACAATCATCTCCATGTCTTTTTCGGGTGTTTGTCTGGCTCAGATGGAAACTCCGCATTAACATATAAATTAGCACATCAACGGCACACATAAATGGCCTGTCAAAGCACCGAGGATGGAAATCATTCATCCTCCTGCGGAAACAAAGAGCCTTTCTTCTTTCTCCTTTGCAAATGCCCAAACAAATTGCCCGCCACTCAGGACGCTTTGATTTCAATGCATTATGTAATTGCGCAGGACTTGACTGCCAGCCATTGGGAAATGCTGCAGGGAGCCAAAAAAGCTGCAGGAAAAGGGGAATATATTTGTAATTATGGAAAAACAACATTAAAGCGTAAAGGGTATCTGGGGCAAAGAACGGGAAAAGTTTCGGGTCGCAGGCTTTAAGCATTAGAGAACGAATCGAGGCAGCAATCTCAAGTTCATTAAGAGCCATAACAAAACGCAGGGTGCTGCCTTTTGGCCCGGTCAAATGCCGGCAATTAACATTAAGCATAATGGCCCCTGACTTCTCGGCTGTCGATGGCATTAAGGATAATGAGGTGCGGCGGCCACTCTGTCACTTTACAAATGCACTGGCACATGCAGTCCTCCAACCCACCACTCATCGCCTTCTTCATTTGCAGCTGACATGAAGCTCCTCGCGCGAAAACTCTCCCATTTCGATCCGCTTACACTCAAGGTCCCGCTGAAGGATGTCGTCTGCTATTTATCACTGCTCGAGGCAGGACGTCCGGAGGACAAGCTGGAGTGTAAGTGTGCGCGGCCTGCTCCTTAACTGGTTATTTATGTATTCATTGCGTTGCAGTCATGTTCCGGCTGTACGACACGGACAGCAACGGAGTCCTGGACACGGCCGAAATGGACGCCATTGTCAACCAGATGATGGCCGTGGCCGAATATCTCGGCTGGGATGTCAGCGAACTGCGTCCGGTGAGTGCCGGCCAAGTCCAACTTACATTAAAAACTCATTACGCGATTGCCACTGCAATCGATGCACGGGAAATCCACTTAGGTCACTCCACTGAAACCAGACAGACCATATCTCCCACACTCTATCAGTCGTCCAACGTCCGGTTGGTGGTCACGAATCCCGAAACCCGTTCGACTACTCATTGACCCAATCCCATCCAATAAAACTTTTTCAATTACTTACCAACAAGAAAGCGGCAAACAAAACACCGCGGAAAAAACACTTGAAATTAATTCTGCCTTTATTGTTTGAGCAACTCAGCGATAGTCCCAGCTTAGCTACACTTGAAGAAATGTGTAAATTCATTTAATTGAATATACAAAGGAATAATACAATTTTCGAAGCAATCGCTGATTTTATCCCATTTCATCCCTAATTAATTAATTACATTATTTGTATAATTAAAGTCTTTCCCACTTGCCCATTTCTCTTACTATTGCAGTGCTTCAAATGCAAATAAATTGTTTATTTACCTAATTACTGAGAAAACAATTTCCTCGTCCCTGGCAGCAAATCAATGCTATCTTACAGTTTCTCTGGCTGCGTGATTTCAAATATTATCAATTAAAAGGTCTCTTTTTCGTTTTGTGTTCCCCGTGTCTCCATTTCAACCGCCAATTGGTGGAGCTACCACATCGCATAGGCAACTTAATAGTTTCAGCAACAGAAAAAGAACAGCCTGAACCTCCCCTCCCTCAGATGCCCGCCACGCTGACAGGCAAAGCAAAAAATACGAGTTCGAGTATGCCCAGCAATGAAAGGAATATAAAAACAAGAAAAAACTGCGACCGCAAATAAAGTCAAAGCGCCACAAAACTCAATTAACAAAATACCCCTGGCTATGGCGGAATGATTCCAGCCGCATTTCCCGCCTGTCCGCCTGTCCGCCGTTCGCTGTCCTCGAAGGACTTCCTTTTCCGCCGCCCGAGATCCGAGGAGCCCGAGTTCCAGTTGCGTTGCCATCACGACTTTATGAGTGCCGCATACTTTAAATTCTAGGCAGACCCAGAAAATATTTTAATCAAAATATTTTTAGCCAAGTTCCGCCAAGAAGCCAAGTTGGGGTCAGCCCTTTGGCCCATTATCCTTTTCGCTCTCCAGTTGCGGCACACAAATAATCAAAGCACTTAATGAGTTGCATAATTCTGGCATTCGTTTCCGGGCGAATATGGAATTCCCGGGAAAAACAAAAGGGAATCGCAAGTTGAATAAATTTGAGAGTGAAATTTTCGCTCCACCCTGAATAATTTATAGAGCTCAGGAACTCGTAGCTCATCGATTTGCTTGGATTTGGAATAACGTGTGCAATAAAAGCCAGAGGGAAGAGAATCACTTGAAGTCTTCAAAGAAGCTAGCTCTTCATCTACCACAAAGTAGTGGAGGAAAAGACATCATATTTATTTAGTTTGAGCTACTTTAAGACCTTAGGACAGACAAGTCAGCGTATGAAGTACGTTGGTACGGACAAAAAAATATTTGTACAATTCTGCAGGAAATGCATTTGCCAAACCAAGTCAGTGTAATAGGTTTACATTCCCCCAACCGAGAGAAGTGCATTTCAAACAGGAAGTTACCTTTCCGTGAAGTTTCATTCCAGCTAAGAATTACCCATTTTTCGGTTTCACTCCACTCACTGCAATCCGCAATCCGCAATCCCTTCTCGTACTCACAGATACTGCAAGAGATGATGGTTGAAATCGACTACGATGCCGATGGAACAGTGTCCTTGGACGAGTGGCAGCGAGGCGGGATGACTACGATTCCACTGCTGGTGCTCCTGGGTGGGTAATTTTCCATTTAGCACGGCAAGAAAATATCACCAACTTTGCTCAAGTCAAGTTTTGTACAAAATGTAGAACAGAAATCAGAAATATGTTTTTGGCAACACCTCAAGGGCTTATGTTTCCGTGTTAAAATTGCTAAGTGGAGAAGTTCTGTAATGCTCTTAGTACCGATACTCCCCAGATGTGGGTGATATTTTCTCGCTGTGTGGCTGCCCCGTTCCCCTGCTAAGTGCGCCTTTGCCGGCTGAATGCCTTGATCTGTGACTGGTTGGCTGCTGCCGTAATAATCAAGTCATTTGCCCAGGTGCCGCGGGGGCGGGGTGCAGCTGCAGGCGCCCCTTGATACGCTTATGCAAAGTGACAACTCTCTCTCTTCCACCTGCCACCTGCCACCTGCACCCTCCACACCTCAATCTCTCCATCTCTCAATCCTCCCCAGGTGTCGACAGCACCACGCTCAAGGAGGATGGCATCCACGTGTGGCGCCTGAAGCACTTCAGCAAGCCGGCGTACTGCAACCTCTGCCTCAACATGTTGGTGGGTCTCGGCAAGAAGGGTCTCTGCTGTGTGCGTGAGTATCTGTGTGAGGGCACACTTCTGTGTGGGGGCCTGAAGACAGGAAATTGTCTATCCCAATGGCCGAAGCTACTTTAAGGCCATTTTACTACCAACAAAATCCCCAAGAGTTACGTTTATCCCATCAATATCAAATATATGTGTATATCATGGAAAGTTGTTTTTAAGATAAGCCGTTTCGCTGAAAAAAGTAACAATGTGGTTTTCGCACTTGTTTTTAGAATGTGTGTCTCATTCAAATATAAAAACTCACTCAAATATAAAAACAAAATTCGTCAGTTTTATTGCTTAAACTTGAAATCAAGCAGATGAACTTTAGTTTTGTTTACAAAATCTTTTATTACTCAAGGCTGATTGTACAGATTTAGTAAGACTGAGTATTTTTATTGTTTAAACTTGAAATCAAGCAGATGAACTTTAGTTTTGTTTACAAAATCTTTTATTACTCAAGGCTGATTGTACAGATTTAGTAAGACTTATGTTATTACTTATTAAAATGTAATTTTCAATGTTTGAGATTCAAGAACATGTTAAATAGTTTTGTCTTACTGCAATTTATATTAAATAAAACTGCAATAATTATAATGGTTTTATAAGCTACATCAACTCAATTAGCTTACACATACCTTGCATTATATAATAAACCTTATTATGTTTGTGAAGCAAAGTAACTTGTATCTTACAGTTTGCAAGTACACGGTTCACGAGCGGTGCGTGCAACATGCCCCCGCGTCGTGCATCACCACCTACGTGAAGTCGAAGAAACCAAAGTGCGGCGGGGACCTTCTGCATCACTGGGTGGAGGGCAACTGCTATGGACGGTGCTCCAAGTGCCGCAAAAGGATAAAGGCCTACCACGGAATCACCGGACTTACCTGCCGCTGGTGTCACATGATGGTGAGTGAATCTTGTATCTTTTACCTAAACCGATATCAGTAATATTATAAACTAAATCGGGAAATGTAGTATTGGTCATACTTCAAATTTGAACTATATTAGAACTAGCCAGACACTAAGTAAACACATTTAAATATTCAGAGGAATTTCTATTTGGTCTTATTAGTTATTATTAATTAGTTATTATTACTTATTATTATGGTAATTCGAGTTACATCGGCTGCCCGATTCGGCTTAGAATGAATTGACAGACAAGTGCCGCATAATCAATCCGTAACAAGCCCAAATCAGATCAGTTCTGGCAGAGATTGCCGGCATTGTTTCGAAACAAAAATTCCAATTACACGTAAAAACAAGGCAGCCTTTGGCCCAGCACTCCCACAGTAGTTTCGTTGGAGCTGTGATTCGCAGCAGGCAGGAACACCCACACTTGCAGTAGCGCAATCCCCCGGAATCCCCGGAATCGCGCACCCAACCGGGACTCGGATCCATCCCGATCCTGTCCCGGCCACACATGAGACAGCAACTTCGTTATGGCTGGCAAATTGTCACGTTCCGAACAAATTGCGCTACTGCTGCCGCCGTTGCATGCCACCAACTTTTGTGTCCTGTGTCTTTGACAAGTGCAGCCGAGATAATGCCGAATTCCTTTTCGCCAGAGGGTCGTCGCCGGGATCGAAGGTCGGGAAACTTGGTCCTTCTAGCCGGATGCTGCTGCATCGGCAAATACTTTGTAAGCCAAACGTAGCCGACGCTTTTGACAGTCAATAACTTCGCATTTTGAGTGGATGTGTCTGTGTGGGCTTCTAGTTCTGCCCACATAAAAGGGGAATGTGGTTGTCAGCCCTCCACCGGCATGAAATTCCTCGTCACAGATACACTCTACCTAATGCCGCTTAAAGTAAGCACAATAACGTTAAGGTTTTTACCTAAGATGAATTTAAAGTGCACATAACGCTTTTAGATTTATAGCACTTTAACGTGCACCGCATAAATACTTTAGTCAGCTTTTCATAGCTTTTGCTAAGCATTTTCAATTTTAAATTCCCTTTTTAAATATAAACTAAATTTAGTTAAAAATCCAAATAAATACAACACAACTACTATTTTCAGACTTTGCATTTTAGTCAGAAATTAGCAACGCATGTGTATGAAACTCCCAAATATCTGTATATTTCAAGTTTATCAAATCGGACGCTGCTCATAAAGCTGCTCAGAAAAATAGTTGAAAATAATAGTAGAGTTACTGCAAGGCTACATAAGTTCAGCTTGCATTTCTTCATGGTTAATTCTAAAAAAGTAGGAAATGCTTACAAAAATTAAAAAAAAACGGTGTTGAGCATAGACGGACACTGCTGCAATTAAAAATGCTATATACATTTTAAGATTCGCTTAACTAGAAACAAAAACTTTTAAGCCTGGTCATCAGTGCTTGACCAACTCCAAATCAATTTTAGAGGCCGCAGCTGTGAAAAGTAATGCGAAAAAAGGAAGCCGCGTGGCCATTAGCAAAAGAGGCAAGACTGCGTTTCAGCCAAATTGGTATTTAAATGAAAATCCGCGCCAAAATCTCATTTAGGCCAAAATTAACCATTTTTTCTGCACCACGGGTCGGGTAGTCGGCGCTAACAAACTTTTAATCGGATTCATTAAGGCAAAATGAACGCTTGAGAGTCGGCTTCCTCTCCTTTTCCACCATTTCCGCCATAAGTGGCCTTTGGCCGGCAATGAAGTGGAAATTTAATTTAACAGCGTAGATTTTCTACGAGACCGCGATATCTGGCCATATACTCTGACTAATTTGATTCGTCCCCATCCCATCGATAGCTCCACAACCGCTGCGCCTCTTCGGTGAAGAAGGAGTGCACCTTGGGTGAATACGCCGAGCTGATTGTCCCGCCCACAGCCATCTGCCCAGCGGTTCTGGACCGCCAGCGATCCGTGAACCAGGCCCACAAGGTGAGGTTGCATGTGTTTTCCTATTACCTCCGTAAAGCTGCTTGCTCACTTTAATTATTCGAAAACATATCAAATAAGCGTGACTCTTTAAGGTATATTAGATTGCACATTCTTGTATTATTGTTTTTGCCACAAAGCAAACTCATCTTCAGTGTTAAAAGTTAATACGCCAGAAATGCATTCCTATGCAATTGAAATTCAAGACTTGGTCGAAATAATTCGTTGTGTCTGTCTTACTCAATAACAATACTTCATTTGACACTTGATAAACTTGTTAACTTGCTTGTCTAATAAATTATAATTGAATTCAAATTGCAATACAAGATTTTGTCGAAATAATTCGTTGCGCCTGTCTTACTTAATAACAATACTTAACTTGCTTATCTAATAAACTAAATAAACTGAAAAGAGATGCTATTGATCTTTCGAATCATTTTCCACAAGACATTTGCACACCATCCTGCCGCAGACAGAATCACCCTGAGAACCTAACTAACCCCTTTCGAAATTGAACTTCCGCCTTCAAAATTTTGAAAACCTAACGCCAAACATAACAATTGGAACTGCTGCTCCGTGCCTACCACCCATTCCCATGACATTCGCTGAAATCGTAACCAGAAATCCCAAATGCATCACCACCAGGCCACCCACTTCCAAATCACGCCGCCGGACGAGCTGAGCTGCCCGCTGCTGGTGTTCGTCAATCCGAAGAGCGGCGGTCGCCAGGGGGATCGCATCCTGCGGAAGTTCCAGTACATGCTCAATCCGCGCCAGGTGTACGACCTGTCCAAGGGCGGGCCCAAGGAGGGTGTGTGTGTGAGTGATGGCCGTTCAAGCACGGTGATTGATTTCCGCTCTCGTTGCCAGGACTCACGCTCTTCAAGGACCTGCCCCGCTTCAGGGTCATTTGCTGTGGCGGCGATGGCACCGTCGGCTGGGTTCTGGAGGCCATGGGTAAGCTAAGAATACCGACCTGGTTTAATAATACAAGTCCTTAGGATTGCTCACATCATTTGCAGTTTTCAAGAATCCCTATAGATTGGCTCACTGGGTAAAATTTGAGATATTAAAGAACTCTGAATGATAAATAGATAACTTGCTGTTGGCCCTAAAAATAAATAATCAAAATATACAACTATAAGTAACGTGTCCCTGGCTTTCCTGCAGATTCCATCGAGCTGGCCAGCCAGCCGGCCATTGGAGTGATTCCCCTGGGAACGGGCAACGACCTGGCCCGCTGCCTCCGCTGGGGCGGCGGCTATGAGGGCGAGAACATCCCGAAACTGATGGACAAGTTCCGAAGAGCCTCCACCGTGATGCTGGACCGCTGGAGCATCGAGGTGACCAACACCCCGCACAGCGAAGAGTTGCGGCCCAAGGTGAGTCGCAATACAAGCCCAGTTGAACTAAATATTCGTGAAACAGGAAAGCAATATTTGGCATTCTTCACGATAAGATATATATCATTTGAAAACTATAAATCCATATGTAAATCCATCATATAAATCAAAATATGCCTGAAAGGCTTTCAACGATAAGACCCACTCCCGAGTCTCAGATTGGAGTTAATGGAGTGACATTTTAGGATACGAAAACCCATTAATGCGCAACATTTAGGGCCGTACTGTTTTATTTATTGCTTTTTTAGTCCAGTGCTGGGTATCTTTCCTAACGTAGTTCGTATCGAATCGAATCGTCCATAACCCGCCCAAATTAGGCGTTTGTGGGCGTGACCTGCCCTTGCCAGCTGGAAAATCCAATTATTGGCCACAAAGCGCTTACCACGCACTGCCATACCCATCCTCGTCCTGAGCACCATCCTTACTCTGCCTCTGGGGAGGAAAACGATTACACAAACTAATTTTAGTGGCTGGAAGGCGTGATGCTGACGCTGCCAACCGGCAACTCGAAAAACTCCAATCCCAACTGGCAATTGCTAAGCCAAGTTTTCCCTTCTTTTTCCGCCGCAGGTGACGCTGCACTCGAACATGCAGAAGGTGATTGAGCTGTCGCAAAGTGTTGTGGTCGACAAATCGCTGATGGAGCGCTTCGAGGAAATCCAGCGGCAGAGCAAGCAGGTGGCCACGACCATGGGCACAGCGGCCTCCAGCACATCGATTATGATGGCCAGCAAAACGGAAACGGAAATGGAAACAATGGCCACCATGGAGTTCGGCAGCAGCACGACCACAGCCAACAGGACGACCACGACCACGACCAAGAGCATTTCGATGTCCACGTTCGAGACGCAGTGCCTGCAACAGACCCTGCGGAGAGCGATGAGCAGCAGCAGCAGCAACACGAGCTGCGGTAGTCCTTGCAACGGCAACCAGGATGTTGAAGCGGAAGTAGATCCCCATTCCGTTGGCGTGGCCGAAGTCCGGGAAAAGTGCTTGCCCAGGAGGTCGGGTGAAACGGAAAAGCAATCACTTGAGACGCTGCTGCTGCAGCACAAAAAGCAGATGCAACAGCAGGAGCTGCAGCAAGGAGCCTCTTCGCTGGCTGCCGAGGAAGCTGCAACAGCAACGCCATTCGGGAATAATCAAAGCGATAATAATAGCCAGTGCAATAAGCAAAACAACATCCTTAAGCAGCAAATTACATTGTCATTGGACTTGTCCGACCATGAAGACGAGCCCAAGGAAGGCGATGGCGATGGCGGGGGCGATGGCGCGAGGAGCAACGGCAACAGCATTCCGGCAACACCAGTCACACCAATCACACCCACCACTCCGAATGCCACGTCAAGTGTGCCGCCGCAGCAGCAGCAGCAACAGCATCTCCAGTTCGAGCAGCAACAGAAGCCCATCAAAGTGCAATCCGACAAGGACTGCACGGTGCCCTACAACATAATCAACAATTATTTCTCCGTCGGCGTGGTGAGTAATCTTCTATGCGTGCACAGGAAAGAATTTATTTCACTTCCATATCGACAATTTGAATTGCTGTGGCATCTTTTACAAAAACCGTATATGAAAAGAATGTTACAACCTCGAATTTGATAATTCTTCATCACATCGCAGTGACCATTTGTTTTACCAGGGCGTTTTGAGTATAGATGCCATTCTTTTTAAGCTTCAGTGACAATAAAAGTGGGCGTTGCAAATAGAATTATTAAATATAGATAATCAAAATATTCATAAAATGTATAGCAAATTTCTGTAGTTGATATTTATTTGCTGAACTACCTAAAGTGAATGTCATATAATCCCTGGAAAGCATTCCTTGCCCTGCTGTTCCTTGGACTGTGACTCCTTAGTTGCATCCACTAATGCCAGCCACTCCGGATCCAGATTCACTCCGTCACATGTCAGATGCTAAGCCGGCGGTTGTCATGCCATTTCCATTCGAACTCGCTCCGCTGCTCGTGTTGCCCATCCACATCCATGTCCATGTCCATGTCCGTGTCATCAGCAGTGGCCACATCCGCCGTAACAAGAGCAGCTATGCAGCAATTTTCATAATTACTGAGGACGAGCTGTCGTGGCTGTTGACATGGGATTTGCAGTTGACAAGCTCGCTAGCCAGGCTTAATTTGATTATCCGAGGAAATCGCATCACAAGTCTTTAGCCTTTGTCTCGAACTGATTGCCGGAAAATTCGGCTTGTGTAGGTGTGCAGCAATCAAAACAGAATTCTTAATTGGAAATTTGCAAAACTTAGTCTAGTGACTTAGGGTCTTTACTCTGTATTACAGTCTTGTTATTTATTTAGCTTCGATAAAAGAGGTTGACTGCAATTTATGAATTATCTCGTTCAGCTAAATTATATAGTTTTGATTGGGTTGTCAGCAGTCATTGTTTGTACATTATAAGGAAACTGCTACATTCGTTACATTCAGTAAAAGCAAGATACACAGACACTGTGCAACCTTGATCACCCAATGGACCCTAAAGACCAATAATATGAATGGCAAAAGTCCCGGCGATGGTTGAGTGAAGCGACTCGGCGTGGCTGTTCAATAATTCATTTATGCAGCGGCACAGCGCCCAAAAATCAGCCCTCAAAGCGCGCAAATGAATATCCTTTGGGGCAGGCAATGGTTTTTCAGATGCAAATTCGCGAGCAACGCAGTTCAGCTGGATGCATTCATAACCGCGGAGCGCGCTGAGCTCAAACAAAGACGCTTCAATAAAGAGCGGAGCTGGCTCCGTATCCCCTGGAACCATGAATCGTGCCGGCCGATTAGTCAAAGACTGTGGCGCGTTGCAACACCTTTTGCATGCAAAGTGGCTGATTTTCGCAAAAGTCGAATGCCACACGCCCGTGGCTCAGGTGCAGATACAATTGCTGATACAGATACACATACAGATACCGGCGCAGCTGTAGGATAGCAGACACAGATGCACATACTTTCGCATCTTAAGCTGGGGGATCGGGGCATGCAAACGAGGTGGCACACAATCATCAGCTGCGCATTTGCATCATTGATGCTGCAACGCTTTCGATTGGCAGGTGCAATTTGCACTGTTTGCTTGCACTTTTGCCAGCTGTCGAGACCAAACGGCCCCGAAAGGTAGGCAACACTCTTCTGCAATTCAAATTCACTTAACTCGAGAGTCCAGCCCAGCCAGCCGGAATTGCCGAAAAACTGCAAATAGCCAGAAACGTTTAGATTAATGGGTGCCCAGGCTGTGGGCAGACCGAAACTTGTGTCATTATAATTTCCAGCAAGTGTTAAATTAGTAGCAGCTCAAGGCGACGCCAAGGACCGCAAGTCAGGAAAAGAAACAGATTGCGCCCCAGGGACCAACATGTACATATAGAATGCCCACACACTCGCTGGCAATAAATAGGCGGATGGATAAAACTTTGCCCAGCTTCGTAGGGCCTTTTGAATAATTTAGTATGATGTGAGATACGAAAACGGCCCAGGAACAGGCAGACCAACATCAAAATCACAGATACTCGCACTTTCAGCGGCTTGCGCTCTGCTTATCAGGCCGGGATTTAGTAGAGCCATAAACTAAAGTTAAGTGACAACTTTACAGCTCGGCCTGGCCGCAGAAATGAAGCGAAATGTGGCCAAATGAAACAGGAAGTCGTACAAATCAGCCCGGCAATGTCCTGCCCCCGTTTCCGTTAAAAAGCAAGGAATGAAAGGATATGTGGGGCCAAGCTCTTAAAAGTGCACTTTCTTCTCCAATGTATTATCTTGAGAAGTTACATTAGATACCTAATACTAAATGGGAACCTGATTTCTTCATAAAATGAATTTAAACTTTGTGAATTCGCATCCGTACACTCAACTTCGCAGGCCCCATTTTAACATTGACCATTAAGAAGTGAAATCAACTCCTAATGCGTTTTTGATTGATGGAAATCATATCAAATACCTAAGCGATCTGCACTACACACGAGGTTTGTTGCTGAGAAAAGCACTGAGCTCTAATCGCTTTGGGTTCGCGTTTGTTGTGCTGTGCACAAGCAGGATATGTGGAGGATGTGGAGGTGTGGGTCCTGCGAAGGTCACACCATTTGTCAAGTGGCGGCTAAAGCCGAAATCCTTTTTGTACAAACATTTTGCGCTCCCCAGCGCCACAGAGTTCAGCCTAATGCTCCTGCCACAGAGCCCCGGCAATTGCACACCAGATCCCACAAAATCCGCACCAGAGCCAAAATAAAAATGTGCGCCCATGTGGGCTGGATCCTTTGGATTCGCCGCCATGTTTGGGTGTGGATTTGGGCTTGGGTTTCCCCGTATTTCTGTGTTTCTGTGTGCGTGTGGCGTGTTAGTTTATTTATGACTTGATGTGCGTCTGTTTAAACAGTAGGCGTCTACAGGCGAAGTAATGGCGATGATGTTATTGCCGTATCTGCTCCTGCTCCTGCTCCTTCTCCAGCTGCCGGGATTTCACTTGTCGGACACATTTCACACGGAGAGCTCTTTGTCCTGGGCCCATCACGAAATCCATTTAACACTCATGTACATGAACATGTGTCTGGTCTGCCAGGGAGCGCTTCGGTTCAAGTGGCCCAGCTCCTTGGGCACCAGCGAGCATCCTTGGGGAGACGGGAGCAGCAGGAGCACTCTGCTCGGGTAATACAGCATGAAAAGTATTTCACACTGACGCCTGGGTTTAACGTCAAACAATTGACGTTGAGCGCCAACTTGTGCGACGATAATAAAAGTGCGAGTTCCAGGCAGATTTGGGAGTTCAGCCCAGCATTTAGCCGGCGAATCTGTCTTTTCGGATAACTCTGTGCGAATGGTAAAAGCAATATAGCTATAGGGCTACATTAACTATTGACAATCATTTGTTGGTGCTACACAATAATTCCACATTTATTTACATTTCAATTGCTAGGCTTCGTTAACTGAACTGGCGAGTTATCTGTCACTTTTCATTTGGAGATAACAATTAGCAATTCCTGGACAGGGCTTAAGTGAAACTTTAACAATTACTATCAAAATATTTTAAATATTGTATAAGCTAGATTCTCGATCTAGCTTTTTGTTGGCGTGCTCTTGTGTGGAAAAGTGGGTTTTCTTGTGGCAGAGTCGTCAGCACTGCTCGAGAACAGGGACTACTGCCAACTGAAGGCTGATATGGAGTTAATGTGCAATTGTCTGAGCTTCGACTTGACTTTGGCTCAAGTTTTATGTGCCATTTAAGGAAGGGCTTTTGTACCTGGGTTGCGCATACGCCCCGTTGCCTTGAATGGGATTTCGACTTATCTATAACTGCTCGCCTTTCGCCTGCCAGCTGGGGTACACAAATTGTTTCATTTACCTCACACCTCCAAGTCCTTTTGGGCAACGTGCCGCCTTCCATGGCTGAAATGTCGTGAAATGTCGGGCACCATCGGCTAACTTTCCCCAATGCAAACAAGCTGTCAGCCCGTGCGGTCTCCCCACCTCCTCCGACAAGGAGTAATGGGTATGGTGCGGTCGAGGCATGCTAATAAGCTGGGCTGTCACTAAATTAGTTTACCGCACAGGCCGTGCATAAAGTGACATCGGAGCTGGGGAGTGGGAGCACGCGGAAGCGGGATGCGGCTGTAGCTAATTAAAAAGTTTTTCGTTGATTTTTCGATTTTAAGCTCTGGCAGGCGCTCGCTCATGTTGACAATTCAATTTGACGTCGAGCGGTAATAAATCTTATTTGCTGTGCAACCAGCAGGCCGTAATTGAAAGTCCTGCCGCCACCACGTGCCCCCAATCCGGCGGACAAAGGGACCGGAGACGCGCGTGCCTGTGTGTATTTGCCGAGCGACATGCATAACAAATGCGTTGGCAGCCAGTGCAACGTGTCGTATGAGCAACGCCGGGCCGCAGGCTGCCACGCAACCGAGTACCAGCTTAAGAAATTAAAATGCAACCGTCCTCCCGATAAGGGACTCCCGCCATCCGTCTCCCGTCCGTCTCCGTGAAATGGAGTGCCTGCGGCTCCGAAAGGCAAGCACTTCTGCACGGGAAGGAAGCATCCGGCACGTGAGCTCATCCAAATGGTGTATGAGAAAAGCTGGCTAATGCTGAGTGACATTTGTGGTGAACAACTTGGTTTTCAGCTTCTCCCAAATCAGCGCAAATTAAACATTTGGCTGCATGGCATTGGTTTCACAAGCTGAATATTAGGCATTCCATATAGTTTACAAATTCACATACAAATTCAAGCGAAATTAAATGCAGTCGTAAGCCTTTAGGATGCTTGATAAACTCTTGAAATTCCACAACGTTTTCGAGTACTGCAAACACCTGAGATGAATAGCTCTATTCCCACCCGCCGATTGCTAATATAATTTAGGTGTCGTATCTAAGGCTCCGCCACAAGATTAATTAGCATTGCTGTGGTCGGGCCAATCCGAACAAATCCAATCCAATTGCATTGCCATGGCAGCCATGGTAGGAGTGTCAATCTAATTGAGATTTCTGGGAAAGTCTGAATGGCAAATAGCAATCGCGGTCGAGCACAGTCCGAACGTGACCCTGAATGGCACACTTCCCAGCTGACCTTTTAACTGGCCCGCTCCCAGCTCATCCCACACCGCACTGATTCTGCTTATTCTATTGATTCTGTTCACCAGGACGCCGCCATCTGCGTCAAGTTCCACCTGGAGCGGGAGAAGAACCCGCACAAATTCAACAGCCGCATGAAAAACAAGCTGTGGTACTTCGAGTATGCAACATCCGAGACGTTTGCGGCATCCTGCAAGAATCTACACGAGAGCATCGAGATTGTGGTAAGTGGATGGGTGAGATTGGAGAGGTCACCCGTCGTGCGTGATTCATTAACGGATGCTGGACCGAGAGCTGCGCAGCGTGTAACCTTCGCTCCATATTTGCAGTGCGATGGCGTGGCCCTGGACTTGGCCAACGGACCCCACCTGCAGGGAGTGGCGCTTCTCAACATCCCGTACACACACGGCGGCTCCAATCTTTGGGGCGAGCACCTGTCCCAGAAGCGGATCCGCAAGAGCGCTGGGCCCTTCGGCAAGAGCAAGAAGCTCCGGGCGGGCGACAAAGAGTTCTCCGCCACCAGCTTCAACTCCGTGGACCTCTCGGTGGCCATTCAGGGTGAGTTACCTATGTGGAGCCTTAACCTCCCTGAAGTATAATAGTTTTGCCAATTTGGATTTAAACGTTCATTACTTGTATGAAACTGTTTAATCAAAACCTGTTTACACAAAAATAGAATTTATAAATATGATATGGCTCAGGATATGAAAATCCAGCACTTACGACTATGTATTCAAACAAGAGCACTAATGAGTGGAAGTACACGTCAAATTCAATTGGTTTTTAAGAGCAGTACTGTTTATTCATAGAAAAACTTCTTTTGAATACGATATTTATTGCTTAAGCTGATTTTTATTTTCAATATTTAGTAGAAAAACTAAAGACGTCGTTCATTACATACAAACCAAGAATAAAACCAACACTAATTAGCTGCCACACATCCTTTTTAGACTTTGGAGATCGGCTAATCGAGGTGATTGGGCTGGAGAACTGCCTGCACATGGGCCAGGTGAGGACTGGACTCCGCGCCTCGGGACGCCGCCTGGCCCAGTGCAGCGAGGTGATCATCAAGACGAAGAAAACATTTCCCATGCAGATAGATGGCGAGCCCTGGATGCAGATGCCCTGCACGGTGAGTACCCAGCAAATAATGTTGGTGCTCAAACAGTTTCATCTTTACGTTGGATTTTCCTGCTGCAGATCAAGGTCACCCACAAGAACCAGGTGCCCATGCTGATGGCACCGCGATCGGAGAAGGGACGCGGGTTCTTCAACTTGCTGTGCAGCTGATTCAGGCGCAGCGCATCGAGCGACTTCATGGGTCGGACCGCCCAGGAGTCGGCCGATGAGCTGGATGATGACTTTCGGATCGTGACTAGAAGCACCACCGTCCATAACATAGCCTAGCGTCAATAGCTTTAGCCCCAGTCCACCCGCGATCGCATCGAATTGGTTTACCCTAGGTTAAGGCTTCCCTTATGATGTGGTTAGATGCGCTATATGTATTATTGTATGCATGTATGTCGAGTGAGTTACAGAGCTTTATATTTAGTGTTAGACTAGCCAAATATACATACAACCGAGTCAAGTCCATTCCAATGGGATCCGAGTGCGGTGGCTGTATATAGCAATACTGCTACGGCTTTAGGCCACAGGATATTTTAAGAACACTTTAAAAACGATAACATAGCGAAAATTGTCCAAAGATGCAACTGAAATGAGACCAACCAAGCAACCAGAACAACAAACCAAACAAACAGCATAGCAATGCGAATTTTATGCCTTAGGCTAAGTAATTTATTCCGTCATCACCAGTGGTGAGTGTTGCTGGGATCGACGAGATATATGTATACCGACGTAAAACTAAGCACATATCATTGATTTTCGACTCGAGATAATGCATTTGAGCAGCACTCGCCACTGACCTACGAACTTTACTTTTTTTTGGTAATTTGGTAATTTATATTGTATATAGCGAAACAAATGTAACTTGACATGCAAATGTCAACTAAATGGTGCAGCTTTAAACGAAATTTTATATATGAATACATATATTGTGATGACACGAATCGGATGTTGAACAATACTACAAACATGTATATTTCATATAGTCGTATATCTATTATTAGTGCTACTAAGGTCCTAACAAATACAATACTCATAGAAGAATACCCAAAGCCTTTTCACCATCCAAAAATCAAGCACTTCTGGAGGGCCAACATTACCCTCCAAAGTACATTTTAGATCGAAAAGCCACATTCCAAGCATTTTCGACACCACATGCAAATCTGGTAAAGGGAAATCATCAAAAAATCTCGATTGTTAAATGTAGTATCCCTAGAAAGTGTTTAGCTAGTAGTTATTTAATAACACAAAACCAAAGAGCACTATTTTTGAACTATTAGGTAATATGAGCGACACTTCTGTGGAAGAAACCTCAGATGGAATGTTAATTGGATATACTCGCAATATAATATGTGTCCTTTGAATCGTTACTCCCCTTAGATGTTCGGAAAATTAACGCTAATTTAAAAGCCTAACCACAGTTTTTACAATTCAAACCTAATGTTATGGAGCGCGTCAAGTTGTCCTAGTTATTTTCCGAATCCAAATTGAGTTCTCCTTCTACGTGCCATCCTAACCCTTGGACTTCCTCAGCAGGATATCCCAACTGCACACCATTAATCTTTAATGTACGTGAACCAGTGTACTGTCGAACTACTATTGCAAACCAACGTAATATACATGAAAGTCGATTTAATTTTGCAAATAAACATTTTCAATGCGATTCCCCGCGCCCACTAGTCCTTGGTTTCGCCAGGAACACGGGGATTTGGTGCCAGCGCCGGGACGCCGCTAATGCCACACAGTAGCCAGTTAACATTAATTATAAATGAACCACTTAATATTAGTAAAATACAAAGCGAAGCGGCTCAACCAAGGCCACGCTTGTGTACAGTACAATTAGATCTAAGCGTATACCTGTCTAAAATTAAAAGTAGCTTCTAGTTGATATTACCAGAGAAATGAACGAAGGTAGCAAGTGCAACTTGAAAACTATACTCTACGTTAAGAGATTATATATAATGCCTAAGTAGATGAATGTATCCCCTAAGCGGAGTAATAATATGTGTACAAAGCTGGGTTCTTTTCGTAGGCGCAGTAGTTTTTAATTTTCAACTTGAATTATCCACTGATGTGCTGCTTTAGGTGTCACACGCTATAACCCTATGCCCCTCAGCAGTTCGCCATGAGCACTGTGCCATTTGGATATTCACTTGTGCCAATCACTGGGGGCGATGGGGTCCCATAATGTTCTCAAGTTAAGGTGTAAAAGGTGTAACCACTTTAAAATAGGGAATGCAATGTAAAACTGTAAAGTGCATAGGCCATATTATCCATACATGTATACTCCTATAACCAGTGTTTAAAACAACCACCAATAAATTCAAATTACGTATACTCTTGGCTTAAGCCGTAGGCATTTTGCAGGTGCAACTGCACATGGGGTCCGTAAAGGCTGATGAAGGAAAGCACCTGGTTGCAGCTGGGCTTTCCGAACTGCTTTAGCACTTCGGCGGTGCGGCATGGATGCAGTGCCATGTAAGGTCTGAAGAGCACGGGATGATCCATCTGGGTGAGTATCTGGTGGAGATCGCTGGCCTTTGATTCGGGCATGAACATTTTCCAAGTGGCCTCGACATCCAGAAGGCTTCCATCTAAGAAAAGAGGGTTTATTTCCACATCTAGTACGATTTTTTGATATATAAGTACCTGATCTGTGTGCCTGGAAAAACAACATTGGTACTTGATAGGAAACACTGAAGACCACATGATACTCTACACTAACCAAGTCTCCTGCGTTCTTGCCACATTGACCTTTAATCTTTTGACTACATTTGAGGTAGGTGTTTGGTTCATTCGAGTCCTTAATTGTGTAGAAAAGGTATTAATTAGCTCGAATTATAAAATCCGCACGGCGTGTACCTTTTGCTCCAACACCCAATTATCACCCAACTTCTGGGAAATTTCAAGGAACTGCTTGGCCTGTGTCAAGAAATCTTTCCAGCTTAAGTCGCCCATTATTCTGAAAATAAAGTGTATAAATATGCATAAATATAAAATCTTTAAATAATACCCACGTTTAAGGATACTTGAAAGAAAACTATTTATTTGCGTGGGAAACAAGCCTCATACACATATATTTAAGAATGTCCTGTATTCTAGAGCAAAATTGAAACGCCAAAGGTTAAAGCTCCTCAACACAATATACTTAAGCTTAACACAAATCGTTATTTAACGAATATCAATTGCAATAATCCATAAGTTAGGCGCTGCGCAAGTCGCCGTCCTGGGCGGTAACCTGGACATTCTCGTTACGCCGAACCTGAACCACAGTCACCGTGCCGGCCTTGTCATCGAACTTGCACGTCACCGTGACCTCCCGCAGCTGGAAGGTAAATATTTGCGAGCCGTATTTTGTGCGCAAGTAAACGGAGCGCGGATCCGCCTCCAGAATGTCCACGATGCACTGCTTCTTCACCTGCAGCTCTTTTAGCTGCGCCTCGGCATGCTCGTTAAAGGTCACGCTAAGCCTATTGCTCGCCACTACCCAGTTGGGCACTCGTACAGCGCTTGGTGGTGGCAGAATGGCATCAGCTCCAATGCCCGAGCTCCCGCTGTAACCAGCTGCTCCGTACAGCTCCAGGTCCGATTCCTCTCCGTCAGGCTCCTGTCTGGAGTCGTAGAAGTCCAGGCTGGTCTCATGTGGACCAACCGAGGTTCTTCCTGTCCGGGACAAGAACTTATGTTGCATTTCTGCTTGATGTTCGACCAACGTACCTGAGTCTACGCTCAAGGATGGTGCATCGTAATGTGGAATGTAGGGCTTAATGTCCAACACGGGTGTGCCGTCTACCATGTCCGTACCAAAGAAACTGATGGTGGCGTTTTCGATCTTCTCAATCTCCACCAATGATAGTCCAATTGGACAAGGGCGATGCGGAGATCGTGTAGAAAACACACCCACCCGCTCGCCCCCGAGACGGGGTGGTGCCACCTTAGCCTTGGGGTGGGCATTGTTGCGGTGGAAATGGTAGATGACCCACAGATGTGAGAAGTCGGCCAGTCCCTCCAAGGAGTGCTCCGGATTGGTGAACACACCGTCGTTCAATTGGATGATACCACGCAGGCGACTGCCCACAATTGACTGCCTGGGCACAGCCCGCTTCTCTGGGAAGGCTGTCCGGATAACTCCAATGGGCCGAAAGTGGGCGTAGTCCTCTCCAAAGCGGTTTCCTCCATTGGTATGGTTGCTCTAAGGATTGGTTGCGAGGTTTGTATGTATCTTTCAGTGTGTGGGAGGGTCAAACGCACCTGACCTTGACCCGTCTGCTGGTCTTGCGTCTGCTGCTGGTGCTCCTGCTTCTCGCCGGCGACCTTGTCCTTGGCGCTCTTGTTGTTACTCGCACACCCCTCGCAGCGGAAGTCCTGCAGCAGGCGGGTTATCGTCTCAATGTCCTTGCGCTGCACATGCTGCAGGTTGCGCACTTGCTGCCTGCATCATGGTCAAGGCAAAATCGGTGTGAACTTGAACTATAGCAGTAGCAAAAGGACACTCATGGCGATTTGCCTGTCTCAAACGAACCTGAGATTGTTGATCTCGTTCCGCGCAATAGTCAACTGACTCTTCAGATCATCCTCGTGCATTTTCGCTGCCGGCAACGCGCACTTGGCTTCCCAAATAATCCGCAATTTCAGCGTTCTCCGCTGTTATTGACCAATATTTACCTCAATTCTCAATCGTTACATCCAGCTAGAGTTGGCCATCACTTACGCACGACACCGCGACGTTATCGATTGTCGATAGGTTTAACTGTGCGTACTATCGGCCAACTGCTTTATTTCCAGATAGATCTGGCTTGCTTTCCATTTACTTAGGAAATTTTGGTGTAAGCCTCTAAAAATAAATTAAAAATGTTTTTTCTTTAATTTACTTATGTTGTTTTGTAAAGAATATTTTTTGCAAATCACATTGCCCGTTGACAAATTTACAAATATTAAAAAAAAGCGTACAATGTAGTCTTTTTATGTGTACATATTCGATTTCAACGATAAACGATAAGTACCAGCGCGCGTTGCTCTTTGGTATTTTTTAGGACTATTTTTGGGCTGAGAATGACAATCTGAATTTTGCACAGTAGGTACGATTTGAAGTGACATTTTCCCTGCTATATACAAACTTGTAAATTCTCATTGTTCAAAAAGTGCGTTGTTTGCGGCTGACTTGACAACTGTATTTTACCCGGCTTTATCTATTGCAGCTACCGAACCAACAGGAAAGCATCATGTCTCGCGGAAGTTCAGCCGGCTTTGACCGACACATTACAATCTTCTCTCCGGAGGGACGCCTCTACCAAGTGGGTTAGTATCCTGGCATTTGCGGCTCTATTGCATCCACTTTGACATTCCCTTATGCCCGCCAGAGTATGCCTTCAAGGCTATCGCCCAGGAGAACATCACCACGGTGGCGCTGAAGAGTGGCGACTGTGCCGTGGTGGCCACCCAAAAAAAGGTCACCGAGAAGAATATCGTGCCTGAAACGGTGACCCACCTGTTCCGCATCACCAAGGACATTGGGTGCGCAATGACCGGACGCATGGGTATGATTTCTTGTTATAGCTGGCATGCCTAGTAAAGAGTTTTCTTTAAAAAGTTAGCCCATTTTCGATAGGTCCTATTAAATTGTTTCTCGACTATCGAGACGATTAGATTGTATATCAACTTCGTAAATCTCGCGGTAGTGACACTGAATGCTTAAATTAAATTATTTGTCTTCCCTAGCTGATTCCCGCTCCCAGGTGCAGAAGGCCAGGTATGAGGCCGCCAACTTCCGCTATAAGTACGGCTACGATATGCCAGTGGATGTGTTATGTCGGCGAATTGCGGATATCAACCAGGTGTACACGCAGAATGCCGAGATGCGTCCGCTCGGCTGTAGCATGGTGCTGATCGCGTACGACAATGAAATCGGGGCCAGCGTTTACAAGACGGACCCGGCTGGCTACTTCAGCGGGTTCAAGGCCTGCTCGGTGGGTGCCAAAACTTTGGAGGCCAACAGCTATCTGGAAAAGAAGTACAAGAACAACTTGTCCGAGGAGAAGGCGATTCAGCTGGCCATCACCTGTCTGTCCAGCGTGCTAGCTATAGACTTTAAGCCGAATGGCATTGAGATCGGCGTGGTCAGCAAGACCGATCCCACTTTCCGCATTTTGGATGAGCGGGAGATCGAGGAACACCTCACAAAGATCGCCGAGAAGGACTAAGTTCTGTTCCGCTAGATGTAATTTTGTCATATTTTATAAAGCCTTTCCTTGGATCTACGGTTAAATAAAAAATGCTCTTGGCTTGCATTCAAAACAAAGGCAAATTACAAAAACTTTCTATTTCTTGTGCACTTTACCGCCGTATCGCATGACAAAGGCATTTACATCGAATTTGCGGCGGCATCCCTGATAGTTCATGTACCGAACCTTGCCGAAAATAGCCCGCTCCTTCCACCCCATGTCATGGACGCCGCCAATTGACCACATGCAGCCCACATAGCCGTTGGGATCGCGTCCATCCAGACTATACTTGTCGTTCAGCAAGATCGCGTACTCCAACGCCCGCTCGGGGGTGGCAGTCCATTCCAGAATCTTTTTGGCCCAGTACATGCGCAAAAAGCCGTGCATTTTTCCCTCGCGCACCAACTGCAGTTGCGCCGAGTTCCACAGGTCGTCATAGGTGAGAGACTAGGAAAAAATAATTAACTCTTGGTAGTGCCAGATAAAAAGAAAAGATTTCATAGTGAACCTTCTCTAGTTCCTCTAAGCTGTAGCAGGGATCCCGCTTGTCCTTGCGATGTGCATCCAGGGTTTGATATGCCCAAGTACTTAGACCTTTAAGGCTATCATAGTGCTCGTTGTAGAAGCAAAAGTTATCCGCCAGTTCTCTGCGCACAATAGCCTCCTCGCAAAACGCATCCGCCGAAGCTTTGTGTTGTCCTCGAAAACGCTGCACCTCCAGAGCACAACGCTGAGCCGAAATGTGACCAAAGTGCAGCCAAGGCGAGAGTCCGGACAAGGCATCTGCCGTGGGATCGTTTCGTTTGTCATTGAAATGGCGCAAGCGACGACTGCAGAACTCGTAGAGCTGCTGGCAAGCGCCCTTATAGCCCGGTGTGGCCCACTGCACCTCGCCCACTTCCATGTCGCACTGCAGTGAAGCATAGGCAGCTGACCAGTCCACGACATTTACATTCTTGCAGCCCGTTCCATAAGGATGCCGCACAACCGGTGGGAATTCGCTGAGGAACTCCCCTAGCTTGGAGTTGATTTTGTTACGGATAGTGCGGGCAGCGTACTCCTGTTTGTCGGAGGCCACCCACAACGGAACCACATTGTGGGCATCGACTTGCACCAACGGCACGCTCTTGGGCAGCGCCTTGCCTACATCCTCGACCCATTGGCGGGGCAAACGCAGTGGAGCAAAGTCGCAGACTACGGCTCCAATATCTTTGGATTTCACAAATTCTGGCAACTTTTCCACAGCGGGGCCCATTAGCAGGTGGAAGGGTATGTCCAGGGCGCGACACTGCTGCTCCACCTCCTGCAGGCCGCCCATCATGAACTTGTAGTGCCTGATGGTGGCATTCAAGAATTTGGGAACTAGGCAAAATACCACCGATAAGGGTAATTCCAGCTTAAAGGCCAGACGCTGGGCAAAGAGCAGGGCCCAGTTGTCCTGGACTCGGCCGTCGCGGGACATCCAGTAGACGACGCCTCCTAGGCTGGATTCCTTTACATCATCGGATTTAGACAGAACGCGCACTCGTTTCTTCTTAAAAGGGAATTCCTGAATGTTGGCTGCCGTGCAGATTCGCTGGTGTTCCAAGTGGGTGAGAAACTGCTCGAAGTTTTGGTAATCCGGCTTTGAAACCAACGAAGTCTTCGATGTGGAGGCTTCTTCATCGTTGCTTTCCGCGTCACTTTTGGGCTTGGAGCGGCTCTCCTCGCTTTTAGGAGCCTTTTTAGATGGACCTGCCTTCTGCGCCTTCGTACGCTTCATCGCCTGCAGCTGAAGAAACTAAACATGAATGAAAAATCCTGATTTGATTTGTACTAATTCGAATTAACTCACAATCTTGAATGATTCGCGCCAATATGATGCTTTTGTAAACATAACTGTTCAACAATGTGGCATCATTGTTCATAAATCAGCTGTTCACAAAACCGCACTCGGAGTACTCTTCCTTAAGGTAAACTTTTTCCCGAGGTAACATTATCAGAATTGCCTCACAATAAATTTTCGTATATATATTTTGAAGATATTAACATACAAAATAAATAGGAATATTACCCACTAATTAACTTGATCAAATAATAAATGGCAAAATCAAAAATGGTTTTGCAATACTCTTAGTTTTAGTTGATTCCCTAAGTTTTCAAAAGTCTCAGTACTGCATACGATATACAGCAGTTATCGATTGCAGAAAGAGTGCAACTGTGAACGCGCTCGTTGAAATTAAACATACTCCTATCTGTCGCAACAAAAAATGGACGAGACTGTTGACGAAGCGGCGTTTAATGCCAATATCGGCCGTATTGCTCGATCTACGCTTATGCGAGATGCTGAACAGTCGATCCATAGGGAGTTGATCGACTACGCAGTAGCTTCTTGCCGACTGTTTTACATCCAGGATGCTTCAGCCTGGAAGGAATGGAAAACCAACAACGAGGCTTTCAGGGATCTCACTACCAAGGAAGTGTGCCATTTATTCCTGACTGACGTTCTGCCCCAACTGGACACCTATCAGCTTACGGAGATGGCCCGGCAACGCCTCAAGCTCCTGGATCTTCATCCATTCTTCAAACGCGTTGGCCAAGGCTATCAGTATGCTCCAGATTGCGACCTTGCAGCTCGATTCGTGGTCCAGCCCCAGAAGAATTTTATCCTAACTAACGATATTCCCAAAATCAAGGTAAGCGCATAAGAAATTACTAAAAACTCGATTGCTACTGCAATCACTAAGCAATTAATATAAATATGTAAACAGTGTTTACAAGGCACTAACCTTGATGCAAAAAAAATTTTTATTTTTATAATTTATATAGAAAATTGATTCCCTGAAAAGATGTCAAACCGTGCTTGTTGAAAACGATGAAGTGGAGCAGAAGACCTGCTTTGGGTACCAAAGCAAAGTCACCCTGGAATCCACCGTTGTGTTCTCGGTATTGTTGTCCACCAATCATGAGCTTTCTATTGGGAAGATGCTCGATATAAGAGAGATTCACGCACGACTGCGACGCGCCAAACAATCATTTGAGGATACTGCCAGAGTTACTCCGTACCGAATCAACATAGACGACCTAATTTACAATTTGGATGTCTGTGCTAAGGTCAGATCTAAACTTTGCCGAGTAATAAGTGATTGTAAAAAGTATTAAAATGGATTACAATACGTGTGATTTATGAAAGAAACAAACTGAATATTCTTTGAGTTTTGAAGAAAAATGGTTTTTACAAGTTATAATGGAACTATAATTTATTTTACACTTTTATTTGCTTATAAGCAAATTAATTAAATGTCATATATTTGTTTATCTGAAATTAAGATGATTATAAGCATTCAACGGCGTCTATATGTTTGCAAACCCACAAAATTGAACAACCGATTTGAATTATTTTAGAATCATGTAAGCTCAAAATACTTATACATTTTTAAACTATAATAAATTATTACTATTAATATTATTTTAATATGTAATTCCAAGTTCAAATGAATTTCTAAGAATCTTTATACATTTAATTTACTTAATAATTAATTTACATACTTAAACATTGAAGTTCAGCTCCGGTTATCTTTATTATAACTTAATTTATTAAGGATCTTCTTGGAATTTGTTAGTAGTTTGCTGATAAAGGCGTCTAAAAATGAAAGTGATGCGGATTTCTTTTTGAACTCTTACTTAATTTATCTAAGTGATAGTATATACTATTCCTAAAATTTGCAGAAATAATGATACATAACATAAGAAGGAAAATTAAATAATTTCATTATTTACCAAGGGAACTATTGAATCTCTCTGGTCACACGTCGCGCCAAGCCAAATTTAGTACGTTATCTGTGCTGAATCATTTTCGCTGTGCCGCAAAATTTAATTAACTGCAGCGATCATTGCAGTTTTAGCCACCAGTGAAGAGGAACATAGAACTCGAAATGCAGAAGGTTGCACTGCTGCTTGTCGCCTTCCTGGCTGCGGCCCACTCAAATCCACAGGAGAAACCTGGATTGCTGCGAGTACCACTCCACAAATTCCAGTCTGCCCGCAGACACTTCGCGGATGTGGGGACGGAGCTGCAGCAATTGCGCATTAGGTACGGCGGAGGTGATGTGCCGGAACCTCTGTCCAACTACATGGACGCCCAGTACTATGGACCCATTGCCATCGGCTCGCCGCCGCAGAACTTCCGTGTGGTTTTCGACACCGGCTCCTCGAACTTGTGGGTGCCGTCCAAGAAGTGCCACCTGACCAACATCGCCTGTTTGATGCACAACAAGTACGATGCCTCCAAGTCGAAGACGTACACAAAGAACGGCACTGAGTTCGCCATCCAGTACGGTTCAGGCAGCTTGTCTGGATACCTGTCTACCGATACGGTTTCCATTGCCGGCCTGGACATCAAGGATCAGACATTCGCGGAGGCGCTGAGTGAGCCGGGTCTGGTCTTTGTTGCAGCCAAGTTTGACGGCATCCTGGGCCTGGGCTACAGCTCCATTTCCGTTGACAAGGTGAAGCCGCCATTCTACGCCATGTATGAGCAGGGTTTGATCTCCGCTCCGGTGTTCTCATTTTACCTGAACCGCGATCCCGCCTCCCCTGAAGGCGGTGAGATCATCTTTGGCGGCTCCGATCCCAACCACTACACTGGTGAATTCACCTACTTGCCTGTTACCCGCAAGGCCTACTGGCAAATTAAGATGGATGCCGCTTCCATTGGTGATTTGCAGCTGTGCAAGGGTGGTTGCCAGGTAATCGCTGACACCGGCACCTCACTAATTGCTGCTCCCTTGGAGGAGGCTACCTCTATCAACCAGAAGATCGGTGGAACTCCCATTATCGGTGGTCAGGTGAGTACCAAACTCCATGTTATTACCCGAATTACTACTAATTTCCCTTATAACCCACTCTAGTATGTGGTTTCTTGCGATCTCATCCCCAAACTGCCGGTAATCAAGTTTGTGCTGGGCGGAAAGACCTTCGAGCTTGAGGGCAAGGACTATATTCTTCGTGTGTCCCAGATGGGCAAGACCATCTGTCTGTCCGGATTCATGGGCATGGACATTCCCCCTCCAAACGGACCCTTGTGGATCCTGGGTGACGTTTTCATTGGCAAATACTACACCGAGTTTGACATGGGCAACGATCGTGTGGGCTTCGCCGATGCCAAATAATCGAACAAAGAAAAGTATACTTAAAATTTAAATTGTAAACATTATCGATCCCATTGCGGATTTCTTCGAAGAACCTGTAGAATATATATGTAATAGCTATAACGTTTCTTTGTTTGATTGCGAGTTGTTTATGCGATATCAGCCGTATGTTTTTGCTGGCTCTGCTCTTTGTGATAGGGCACAAAGCTTTATACTGTATTATGTATATAAATATGTGTATATGTCATTTGTCATGATTAGAGTGGCTAGTTTAATTGAAAACGAGAATGTACATATATGGTTGCCTGTGGAGCTTTTTCACTCAATTAATTTGTATAATATACTTTTCTATACAGTGCAAAGAGCTTGTACTCAGCCAGTTGATAACAAAACTCTGGGGATCAACGACTTCCTCAGTTGTCATTTATTGAAAATTCCAGCTATATTCAAGAAATAAGATTTCCCTATATCACCTTTCTTTTGCATACGATATGGTGTTCTCATTCTGAATTTAAATTTATAGTTGAAATGGTGAAATTCCGCTAATTGCTGTCAACGTATAATTAACAACACGAAAGAGTTTACTTCTATTTATATACAACCAATTTTCATTAGAAATAGGTAAACAATTAATTAAAACAAGTCGGTAGTCAACGAATGACCAGCTGTGCCTAAAGGAAAGCATAGTTCCTTGGATATTGTAACTTTGTTAGCTCTTTAATTTAATAAGACGACGAAGCCAATTAATTAAAAGAATATATTAATAAGACTTTATTTATAAGGGATCCGTTCGTTCTTTCTTTCTTTCAATGAATCATTTCCCAATAAAATCAGGCGCCAAGTATAAAGAACCGCTCCCGTTTTCACCTACATAATTCCATTGTTTTGCTGTCTATCAGTTAACACAAGATAGCCTTAGACCCAACCCAAAAGAATTGAAAACAAGCGGCGCGTGTGGGATCTTCCGGATCGCTGCCAAGTCTGACGTATGTTGAGCACCGATTGCATTCGTAGAGAACTTTTCGGCGAAGCTTCGAATTCCTCCATTGGTTATCAATCAAGTTATCAATGGAACTCCCTCCATGCGCGTTGGCAGTGCCCATGAAGTGACCTTTGTACTTGGACTGAATCAGCACAAATGATGATAGCTGCTACAGAAGCGCTTGGTTACCAGCACAATCCATAGACTTTACATTTTTTTTTAATAAACTTGTCAACCTAGGTCACTGGAAAAAATACGTTTCGGACTAAGTTGATTTAACAAATATAGATATATATTTAAGCTATTTAAAAAACAGTGCGTATAACTTGAAATCTCAAAAAATATAAATAAGAATACGCCCGCCTTGGGCTTCATTTTAGTTGGCCAGTTTTGACTGTAGAGTAAAACTAGCGGCTAATTGGATAAGATGACCATTTAATACTAGGCAAAGACACTAAGTTAATAGATACAGGCCGGCAGGCTAGCTGTGATTTGTTTGGTTCTCAGCGAATACCGCTGCTTCTGCTCACTTCGGTTTGATGTTCGCCGCCAGTTCGTCAGTGGTCGGCGTGGATGTATCAGCTGCAGTGACAGGTTCGGCCATCGGTTGCACTTCCGGCTGGACCTCCACTGTCTTTGCTGTGCTTATGCTGGGCTCGCGCTCCTCGTCGGACTCCGTGGTCTCGCGGATGAGCTGCAGGGGCGTTATCAGCTTGCCACCGGCCACCTTGTACATATCACAGGTCTCGTTCACGTAGCGGTTGAACACGTCCGGCTTGTCGGCATACACATGGTGGCCGGCGCCCGTCACGATCTTGATGTCCACCATGTTACTGCCGCGCTGCGACTTGATCTTCTCCCCAGACGAGGAGTCGATCCATGAGCGGGAGCCGTAGATGAACGTGATTGGTATGTTGCTGCGCACGTCCTTGATGCGGTGAATCATGGGGTGCTTGGCCCACCCGAAGGATTGCATCATGGTGTGGAAGGCGGACTCACCGCTGGGGTTTTGGGCGTTGCACTGATGTATGTACTGCGGCAGCAAGTTGATATCCTCCTCGATGGTGCTCTGGAACTTCCGCATAATATCTGGCCGCGTCTTTTGCACCACCCACTGGCCAAAGGGGCCGGCGGCGCGTAGAGCCCACAACGGATTAAGTGGGGTCAGTACTCTAGCTATGGCTCGCACCCAGAGCGGAATTGTTTTGCCATTGGTCGAGTCCGAGGGCTTCTCGGGGAAGCCCCAGGGATCGGCCAGTATGAGGTGTTTCACACGCTCCGGGTGTGAAAGGGCGTAGCTGGAGGCAATGAAGCCGCCCATCGAGTGGCCCAACAGAATCATGTCGTTGATGTTCATTTCGCGGCGCCACTCCTCCACCGATTTGACAAATTGCTTCTCGCACACCAGCGCATCCTTGGCGAACTGCGGCCGGGAGCTGCGTCCGAAACCGAGGATGTCCATGGCGTAGACTGGTCGACCCTTGGCAAAGGCATCCAGGTTCATCACCCACAGGGCAATTCCTGCTCCCAAGCCATGCAAGAGCACCAGGGGCACCTCCTTGGACTCGGTATTCATGCTGATGGTCCAGATCTTATCCGCTTCGCCCACCGCCGGCCCGATGTCCACGAAGAAGCCGCGGTAGGGCAGCTTCACGTACGACAGTATCTTCTTTTCAACGGCACGCAGCATAGTCGGTGAGCTGGATGTCCAGTTAAACAACCATTTCCAAAGAAAGAATATATTGTTTCGGGGATCCTGCAGGTGAGAGATGAAAGTGACGAGTGAATTTGGGGAGTTGCTGAGGTGACTGAGCGTTGTGTCCGATGGGCACCTCTAGCCGCTGGCTATGTGATCCATGCCAGGTAGTCCGACCCAAAAATTACTTAACCAGCGGCTGTCAATTAATTGCGCAGTTGCTTGCTAAATGTGGCAAGGGAAACGGGAATATCTTTTGGGGATTTTTGTGATTTCACCAGGCAGGGCCGACTATGATGGTCAACTGGGTCTGGGCCTGGACCTCGACCTGGTCGCCCTGCTTACCTCTTGGTCCATGACCTGTTTGGATCCCGATCCCAGTGCAACTGTAGTCTGCGGCAGGTTCGAAATAGAGACGTTGGTGAGTGCTGGCGTTGGATCCACCACGCCACTGCTCGCCAATGCTAGCGGTTCGCTCATCTCGCTCGCGATCTAATCTCTCACTGCTGATTTGTGTGGGTACAATGTGCGGATGTGTGCGGGGGGTCTGGTATCCTAACAACAATATTCCGCCACCATTTGCGCGCAACGTGCGTACCCGTCGAAAGTCGAGAGTTTCATGAATACTGACACTAGAGTAAAATCAGATTTGTACCCCTTAGCACTGGTTCTGCCGAGTTGGGATGACTTTTAACTTCTGCTAATGCTCCGCGGAAAGTGGCCTGGTTTGGTATGATTCAAGTTCCGTGTCGCTTTTACATGTTATCTATTCTAATGGTGAAATAATGGTTGTTGTTGCTAATCCAGTGGGAAGCGAGTGCGGTCACACCATCAGCTGAGCGGATCAGCTGGCCGCCGGCAGTGCTGGCTAACGGTTAGCAGAGGCGGCGAAAAAGGGTTGTGATTACAGCAGTTGTAAAGTTGAAAGTAATATCCATTCTGTTGAACACAAATTAAAAATCCAATTTGTGTATTATTATTTTTCTCTTAAGCAAAAGAAACGCATTTGCTCGAAGAGCTTACTGAACGAGATTTAATATTCATACGTTTACATTGTAGTTCCAATTGGATTAACAAAAAAGCGTTTGTTGAATTATTTTTGTATTCCCACTCAACTTTTTATTCCAAAAATTACAGAAATACAGAAGTCGAAGGCTTTTTTCCAACTCGAAACATAGGTTCGATAGTTGTATATTCACACCAGATCCTATAACAGATCGTGGGAATGGAACAAGTGATTAAAGTGCAGACATCCTCAACTGGAGGTCGCAAAGAAGAAGAAATACGCATCCCTGGACCCCGGCGTATACGGTCACTTTAACTGGGCCGTGCTCCAAGAGTGCTCCTTTTTGCGCCCTGCTCTGCACATGGACGGCATAAACAAGTACAACGAGTTTGTAGCGCTGCACAAGCCGCAGCTGGAGTCCTCGGCTGTTCCGTTGATCTTTTGGCCGGCGCTGTACCGAAAACTGACCACGGAAACATTCGATGCTGGCGAGGCACTCCAGTTGATGCTGATTGACTACGATGAGGATGAGGAGCAGAATCCTGCCGAGGACGACGACAGTCCCAACCCGGTCTTCGCACTGGGCGTGGCCCGGGAGCAGGGAATTAAGGCCAGTGATCCTCAGGCCATCTTTTTGGTGGACCACGCCTGGACATTCAGGCTAAACGGCGCCCGGCAGCAACTGGAGCAGTATCCACAACTGGCGGACCGACTTTCGGCCATCACTGGCGTTGATCTCGAGCTGGAGGATCGTGTCGACAAGATACTGCGTCGCCTGTGGAAGTACTGCCAAGCCTACTCCATCGGCAGCGAAGGCTTGTCTGACGAGGAGCGCCAGCCCATTTGGTACGTGATGGACGAAGTCGGTTCAGCGGTGAACCACTCGGACAATCCCAACTTTCGTCTAGTCCCTTTGCTCTACCTGAACACCCAAACTACGTACAGTGTGCTTTTTCCGATTCGGGACTGCGATGTCGGAGATGCAGTGACCCGCGATGTGGTGGAGTACGTGGCCAAGGAGGCGCCCCAGCGGGATGCCCTGCTTTTACCCTGGCGCTATGCCGACCTCACGGGGGAAAGTTTCTTGCAGGTTGAACCCCGGGCAGACTATTTTACTAGCGGTCACATCCCTGAGACCTATCCTAAAGGCAATACTGATCCACTGCCAGCCAGGTCCCGTTGCGATCCGCTAAAGGTGTATGCAGAGTACGAGGTGGTGCGCCGTCATCTAACTTCGTCTGAGTTCATCTTAGTTAACAACGCAGACGAAGCGGATGTCCTGTGGCTCACACAGCACTTCAAAAATTTTGAGGACTTTGCCGAAAGGTCGCCCGGCAAGTTCATCAATCAGTTTCCCTTCGAGTACGTTATCACCATCAAGGACCTCCTCAGCATTGTGGGCCGCCGGGCGGCCAAGGAGCACCATAATAGCCTTACGCTGGAAACGTTTCCGACATGGCTCCCCACCACCTATAATCTGTCCACCGAACTCAAGGAGTTCGCTGCTTACTATCAAACGAGAGCAGCCAAGGGCCTAGACAACCACTGGATTATTAAGCCTTGGAACTTGGCTCGCGGACTGGACACACACATCACGGACAATATCAAGCAGATCGTACGTCTACCGGCCACTGGACCAAAGATAGCGCAGAAGTACATCGAGCGACCAGTTCTCTTTAGTCGGGAGGAGCTGGATGGACGCGTTAAGTTTGATATTCGCTATGTAATTCTCTTGAAGAGCGTAAAACCCCTGAAGGCATATATACACCGGAAGTTCTTCCTCCGTTTTGCAAATCATCCCTTCTCGCTGGATCACTTCGATGACTACGAGAAACACTACACGGTGATGAACTACCAGGAGGAGGCGCAGCTGCATCACGTCAAGTGCGACGACTTCCTGACCCTCTGGCAGGAGCAGTATCCGGAAAACAGTTGGGCGGCTCTGGAGCAGCAAATCTGTAACATGCTTCTCGAGGTGCTTCAGTGCGCCAGTCAAGCAGATCCACCCTGCGGCCTGGCTCCTTGTGCCCAATCACGAGCTCTTTACGCAGCTGACATTATGCTTCGGTGGAAGGACGATGGGGAGAAGGTGATGGAGCCCCAGTTGCTGGAAATCAACTGGACTCCCGACTGCAAACGCGCCTGCGACTACTATCCCGATTTCTTTAACGACATCTTCCGTCTGCTCTTCCTAGATGAAGATAACGACGAGAGCTTCCGGGTACTGACGGCAGACAATTGACATAAAGCCAGCCAATAAACCAGATTTCCTATTATTTAATGCTTATTCGTGTATTTCATTTCGTTTAGACTATACAAAACTTATATAGCTTTCCATTTGTACAATATACAAGTAGGTGTGTATGCTTCTATGCGTGGGAAACTAAGTCCTAAAGGCTTAACTAACTAAGATAGCAAGTCAGTTGGTGGTGTGGCTTATGGTTCTATCATAGCATGGACAAGTTCTAGAGTAATGAATTTAGTGTAAAGTTCAAAAAGTGAGCTTAAGGTTAGGGCTTTTACAATTCTCAATTGCAAATGGCACTTGATGAACGATGAATAATGGTAAATAGTGAAATGACAACTTTACAGGATGATATTCCAAGAACATACATTAGTGTCGATGCTAACTTTAACTTAAGGCAATTTCAAAGGCACCCTGTTCAGGATAGGCTCACGGTGGAACGGAAACAATAATGTCAATCCAAACATAAATTAAATATGTTATAGTCTTCTATATATAAGCTCCCAAGGGTCTTGTACTTGGATTAGTTGATTCAACACGAAGGATCTTGGCTTAGCTATGAATAATATACCTACGAACTAATAGTGTGAAATGCAAGGGTATGTCAATGAATGAATCTTAGACTACCTAGGTGGTACACCTAAATTATCGCTTACTGCTAAGGCTGGACTACAACCACTAAACGCAGACCTCATCGAAGTCCAGGCGTACCTTCTCGTCAGCGGAAGCTAGCTTATGTATAGTCTTTTTTATGCGCAGCGCTGGCAAGCGCACGTTGGGGTTTTGGTGCCAGCACTCCTTCATGAGCTTGGACATGCCAGCCAGTAACTAAATAAAGAGAACTATTAGCACGAAGATCCTGAGAATGGCATACAAAAGCAGCTTACCGAATCCGAGCTCCAACGGTTGGGAATGGATGGCCTGTAGTTGTCGATGCAGACCACCTTGCGCATATCCTCAAAGCTGGGATCCATTGGCACCACATCGTAGAAGGGCACCTTGTACTCCTCTGCTATGCCGCAAGAAATGGTGCGGCGACAAACCTCCCAGAGGACAAGTCCAAACGCGTAAATATCTGTGCGGCGCAGTGCTTCGAAGCATTCTAAATCAATACTGCAATCAAATTTTAATGTGGTATTGTCCTTTTTAGTAAAGCCATTAACCACATACCTCTCATCCAGAACCTCTGGGGCCATGTAACGCTTGGTGCCCACTTTAGGGTTGTTGCCCAGGTCCAGTTGCCCTGTGACGTGCGAATGGGTAACAGCCAGTCCGAAATCGGCTATCACGCACGAGCCGTTCGAGGTGACCAGTATATTCTTTGACTTCAAATCGCGATGTGCCATAGCTGGCTTTCCTTGCTTGCCGAATATCTCTGTGTGCAAGTGCACCAGCCCATTAGCTATGGACAGGCAAATCCATACCATATCGTTGTGGCTCAATGCGTTACGGTTTAGGTGATCAAAGAGCGAGCCAAGTGGATAGTAGTGTGTCATCAACCAAAGTTGGGTACACGAGTTTCGTGACGTCATGTCGGAGCCGATGAATCCGAGAATATTTTCATGGCGGAGCAATATGGTGCTGAAAAAAAATGTGATTACTTATGATTCATAGAGCAACAGGTAATGCCGACTATCAAACAATATTACGCACGTTTTATGGGGGGGAACATTTTACATGTTACAGTGTATTCTTTTAGGTGATTTTGTTTTGATTTGAATGAAATCAAAGACTAATGCACGACTTCGTTGCATAAAGTTATACAAATTACGAGCCACACGTACAATAATAACAATAATTTGGTCCTTACCTGTAGATCTCTGTTTCCCGCTTCCAGGACTCCTCGTCGCGACTGAAGAAAATTTTGACGGCGATGCTTTCGCCATGCCAGTGACCGCGCCAAACTTCGCCGTACTTGCCTCGTCCTATGCACTCGATCAGGGTGACCTGTTTGGCTAGCGTACGCTGCACTAGCAGCGGCAACCCGCTGCCCGAGCCGGAGGTCACCGAATGCTGAAGATACTCCCTCAGCGTACTGTCGCCGGCGCTGGTGGCGCGGAGCAACTCATCATTGACCAGATATGCTTCCGGGTCGTGTTTAGTTCGCGAGGCAGCCAGACGCTTGCGATGGCTACGCCGAATGAAGAAGATGGTCATGGCACCCAGCAGAGCGATAACCAGAATAGGACCCAGAATTGCGACGGACATCTTGCTTATACTACTGGTATCCGCGGTTATTACCGTCACATCATTGCTGTCAAAGGGCAGCAGTTCTGGAAAGTCTCCTTCATTGCAGTAATCACCGGTGCAGCATACCACATTTACGAACTTCCCCGTATTGCGTTTACTGGATCCATTGATCTTCAAAGAGTTCAGGCTGCAGATCATGGGCAGTTGATCCGGCGAGGTGCTGCAGCCGCGGGACTCCTGCACCTGGCCATCGGCATCGCGGGTGCGCGACTTCCAGCACTGTTGAAAGTCGGAAACTTAGTTACTTTTAAGTTTTAATTATATACAGTGAGGAACTCACCTGAATCGCATTCTGGCAGGTGTGGGTAAACTCATACGGATCCCGACAGGGCGGTTCGCAGGAGTAGCATTTGTATCTGGTAATAGAGAGAGGGTTTTAGTATCATTTTACAGAAACAGTTAAGGCAACCAGGGAACTTTTATTTAGTACCATTCGGCTACAAAAATGTTTTATAATATCAGATATCTCAAAGGAAAAGTTGAACAGAAAAAAAAAATGAAAAGTAAACAAACAAGAAAAGAAAACCGTTAACTTATTAATATTTTCAATTGTTTTGTATACATTTAACCATTTTTTTATGATGTTTTAATTAATGAGTCGTGTAAATTGTACCTTCTTTTCATGCGGCGCTTACTCTTAATGTGCCTCCTAATTAAGGATTAGCAGCATGGCAATTGGGAGGGAGCAGAGGTTAGCAATACAGTGTATTTTGGACTGAGCGGGGATACGGGCTAGGGGTTCTGGACTTAATATATAATCACCTGGGATGCGTCTGCACCGAGTTCTGTGGCACGGCCGGTAACTCTTTGCCATTGAGATGGGCGGACGAGGCGGAGGAGGGCTCCATGTCTAAATCCGGAATGTCCTCCCGCAGATGATCGCTGATTTCAGCTGAAACACAACAAATGCACATTAAACACATGCACATACCAAATATGTACACACATGAAAGGCCCCACTAATACCGCCAGCACTAACGCACACACAGGCGCCCCAGCAAGTTCTGTATACACACACGGAACTGTGGTGTGCGTGGGTAAATCATTGAGAAAATGCACTTATGCTGCAAACGCCCACGACATCCGTTTATATAATCCGTCAACAGAAACTTCTTTCACTAATCACCATCCCGAGAACACTTTTTTCGTTTTAGCCTGGCCAAGTACGCAGCACAATTGGACAGAACCGCAGCATATGAAAACAAATCGAAAACACTCTGTGACTTTTCGAGCCATTCTGTGTGGGTCTAAATCCCCTTACAATCGGGGTTTCTCTTGTGCACCCTCCTTGCAAAGCACTCATTAATTGGTTAACACTAATTAAGGCCCACCTCTAGCATTATTGTATAGCAGAAACGTCAATAGAAAAATTAAAAATATATTGGACTCCATTGCTAGAAATGTTTTTAGTCCGAGTCTATCGGGGACTATCGATATACGCCAAGAGGGCAGTGTGACCAGGGCCCACATCTGCACATAACATATTCCACAAAAATACTAGGCCCCTACATTTCCCAAATGCCCTGAGTAAAAATACCAAAGCACTGCACACACACAAACACGAGCAGCCGGTCCAGCGGAAAAGTTTCTAGAACGTCAAACTCGAACTTCATCAAAGAGTCCTTTGAAAAACAGCCCATTTCACAGACAATTATTGTATTTAGTGTCGTCGTGCCCACTAAAGCATAAGTATTTCCAATTCAGGTGAGTGGAGAGGGAGTAATTAAGCAGCAGATCGGCGGAGATGGAGGAGTTATCGGGGCATTAGTTTGTTGTCCTGTGTGAAATTAACTAATTTATCTACCCGGTGCTATAGAATAACACTAACAATTTGTTTAGTTATTGTTTTCATCTATACTGCGACCGGTTTGTCCAGAAAATCAATGAGTTTCAGCTCGTATCGATCAAACGACAGTTTTCCCCCTCCCCCAGCGCAAACATGTGTTTGGTCACGTAACTGTTATAATTTTCCTCGTTTTCCAAGCAGTGGAGATACACACGCCGTAGGGAAACGTCTTACTGACCCCCTCTTCACCGCCCACCCAGCACATATGCACATACATATGTAAGACTGTAATATCAGTTGGCAGACGCAATATGTACATACATACATACGTGTGTGTGTAGAGATGTGGTCGTTTATTGTACAATTAGTTGGGTTGCGCCAGAATTCAGAAATTGTGAGGGCGCAGGGGCGGCGGGGCAGAATCTCGCAAAACAAAAACAATTGGGGGCAAGTGGTTTTTTCGCGCTTATCAAAAGGCCCTCACTGCGCAGAGGACGCTCTCTTTTTCGCCTCGCGAAGAGCCTCCAATATTTACCGGCGTTTCGGGCGGTGCGCTCTCATTCTTATAAACACGCTCGTCGGGAAAGCATCGCACCAAAACACGAAAAAAAAAAAACAAAACATTTACGCGTTCTCCTAGAATTTCAGAAACTACGCAGTTCGTTTATATATTGGCCGACAAATAAAACAACTCGTGGTCAGTTTGTAGTCATGTAGAATCACACGCATATGTATCTACTTACATAACGCCCATAATTCCGGCGGATAGCCGGCGATTTTCGGGAGCGACCTTTCTGCGTCATTGATTTAATTTTTGTTTGCTTATCTGCCGATCAGAATTTCATTATATTTAGCGGTGTTTGGTTACGAGTTAGTCAGGACCTAGGGCAACCTTGGACCTGGTACTTGGCTTATCTCGGCCTCGATTGGAAAGTTTCCAGAGTTTCGCCAGGTTTCATAAGATTCAGTCATGCCCTGAAGGTTTATTTACAAATCTATAAAATAGCCAGATATTCACATTAATAGTCGGAACAGAAAAACCAGTCATATGATGCAATCGAATGATATTCTGGAACTTATCTTGTTGATATTGCAGTTATACATACGTAATAATCAGCTATTTTACACGATCGTCCGTACTTATATGCACATTTGTACTTTCAGAACCTTCCAGAAATAGAAAACAAACGCATTTGCCAAGGAAACGTGGCCCAAAACTAAGCAACCCCTAACAAATAAAACAAACAAAACAACCAACCGAACTGATAAGTAAATTGTTATTTGTGTAGTAAAAGTGCCGATAAGAGGAGACCCCAGAGATCCCTCCGTGAGTGAAGTGTTCTTGTGAGAAAGCTATGTCCGCATCTGCTACCCGATCGCGTAATAAACAATCCAAACTTCGTGACGATGAGCGGCTCGACATAAGCAAGGACGAGTTCAACCGCATCCAGGAGGCCTTTGGCCAGGAGGAGTTCCGCAAGCTGTTTTTCGACTACGTGGAGGAGATCCAGGACCCTGAGAATCGCAAGATCTACGAGGAGGAGATCACCCAGCTGGAAAAAGAGCGTGGTGTGGAGGTGAGGTTCATCCACCCAAAGCCGGGATTCGTGATTAAGACCGCCTTAGATGGCGAGCTCAAGTGCTTCATCAACATCGCTGGCTCTGAGGAGATCGAGAGGCCTAAGAACGAGGTGGCCACGGATCCATCGAGCGGCAACCGTGGCCTGAGCTGGTCCATTCCGATGGCCCAGACCTCGTCGCGGGATGACTGCGATGCAAAAAACAACCACTGCAAGGTGTTCGACGTGGTCTTCCATCCCGACGCTCTTCACCTGGCCAAGCGGAACAAGCAGTTCCGGCAGTGCCTCATCGATACGGCACTGGACGCAGTCGAGCGTGAGTACAAAGTCTCGCTGGATCGCGCTAACCTCAAATTCCCTAAGCTGGACTACAAGGGTATTCCCCGTCCCACTGTGATACGCAAGCTGGCCGATAATCCCACGGCCGAGGAGCAGGAGCCACACCCTCTGGCGCACATGTTCCCCACACAGCCACCCGCTCCCGGGAAACCGGAGCCACGCGTCCTGCCCTTGAAAACAAAGCCCACTCCGGTGCCGGAGTTCACTGTGCCCAGGTATTCGATCAAGCACAGCCACGACGTGGACTTATCCGAGTACACGGACGAGCTGGATGCCAAGCTGCATGTGACGGTTCCACGCGCTCTTGTCGTGGAGATCGAGCTCCCCCTGCTCCGTTCGACAGCCGAGTGCCAGCTGGACGTCACGTCCAAGTCTGTATACCTGTTCAGCGAGCGACAGGGCGCGAAGTACCGCCTAAAGCTGGACCTACCCTTCACCGTGGACGACAAGGCGGGCCAGGCCCGCTTCGACACGGACCTACGCCGTTTGAGCATCACGTTACCAGTGGTGCGGAAAAGCAGCAAGGAGCAAGCCCAGATGCACGAGACCTTGCGCCACTTCAGCCGCGAGGACAGCGGCGTGGAGCTGCACTCCAACAGTGAATCGCCCGTGGAGGAGGATCCTGATGGCGAACTTAGCGATTCCAAGGCGGATATCTCCGATATTTGTAAGTATACCATTTAAAATAACTTATTTAAAAGCAATCGTTTAGGGAATTCATGCTCCACGATGTAAATTGTCGCTATAAAAGATTATTCCATATAGCTCGATCTGTTTTCGTTTTGTTAGTAATAGGTTTTAGATTTGATCCATATTTGAATATTATATATTAAAATAACTGCCATCCGCTGGATGTTATAATTTTTATGCTAGACGAGCAAAAGCATTTAGTTATTTTTAAAAATATAACAAAGTTATTGTTCATTGTTCAAAGCTAGTAGTTTTCTTTTGTTTGGATACTTTTACAAATAAATCTACGGTTCAAAGAAAAGGTGTGTCTTGATATTAATATGACATCAATTTATGTGCTCCCTCAGCCTCGCCAACTGCTGCGCCTGTGCGCCACTCCAACAGCCCGTTCCTAAAGAGCTCCGTGCACTACCAACTGCCAAGCAAGTTTGACTGCAACGTGCTGGACAATGTGATGGCCTTCGTGCTGCACGTGCCCAACGTTCAACCGGACTCCATTGAGCAATTGAGAGAGCAGCGGAGCCTGCACCTGCAGTTCGCCACCATCGGCAGTGGCTACTATCCCACCCACTACGCTTTTTACGTAGAACTGCCGGCGGAGCATGAGGATTCCGCCATCGAGAGCGTGGAGGCAGAGGCCTGGGACAACAATGTAGTGCTCAAGCTGTGCCTGACATCGCAGAGCGAGACTCCGGCTAGCTATTTGGCCGGTCTGGATGCAACAGAGCTCAAGGAGTACCCAGTCCATGGCCAGTACAATGTAAAAAGCAAGGAAAAAGTTATCGCAAGAAAGGAGAATGCACCGTTCGAAATTAAATTCGAGCACAACCAGGAGGGTCAGGCTCTGAAAGTTAGCATTCGCCCCGGCACAAAGGAGGAAGAGAAGGAGAACCAGGATCAAGAGCCCGAAATCGATCAGCAGCACCAGCAACAGGTGCAAAACAAGAAGCCCGGTAAGAAGCAACGGAAGAGGAACAAGAAGGAGCGCTCGCTATCCGAATCTGCCTGCGCAGATATGATTCTCCAGGAGCCACTGACTAAAAATTCTGAGCTTCAGCCGAAGTCCACGTTTAATTTGCCGCAGCGCAAGCAACGCAGCTACTCGGAGTGTAACGATAGCACCGGTGGCTCCCATCGCGGCATCCTTAAGCGATTCAGCCGCTATGGACCCCGACCCTCGATGTCGGACAGCTGCTCCTCCATTGATGACTGCTCCTCGTACTCGTGCTCCGTGGACGCATCCGGAACTTCTTTATTTTCCCATTCATTCGGCGGCATTCCCGAGGAGGACCGTTCGGATGCCGGGCTCTCGGAGAGCTGCAAGAAGACTGTTAGGTTTAATGATCACATCATGAAGCAAGTGTTCCGGTAAGTACCAGCTATAGCCCCTTAAAATGGTCAGTAATTTTATAATTCACTTAATCGCACAGACTCGACTCCAGCATCCTGGGTCAGCGCAAGAAGAACCAGAAGCGACGCGATCTCAAGCTGCGGGCTCAGCATCGTCGCCTCAGCGAAGGGGATTCCGTCGACTACGAAGAATCACGGGGCTCTGCCCTCAAGGTGAGATCAAGATCTAGTTAATTGAGCGAATATCCCGGCTGGTTGCGAATATCCAGTTAGGTTGTTAGCTTGCTAATTGAATTAGGGGCCATCAGCGAAATCGGGCAGTTTGGCTTTATTTTCGTCACACCAGACATAAATATTGATTAAATCTTTGTTTAGGGAATTGTATTACACGTGTGCGAATACTAAACAAATCCGAAATGAGCTCTATTTATAGCAGGAATGTTGAGAAAATTAAACGAGTTATGCTAATTGATATGCAGCACACGAAAAGTCCCGGGAATGGAAAGTTTATGCACTTGAAGACAGAAAACGATCGCAGAAATACGAGCATCAGCTTTGGGAGCAAATGTTTAGGGTGTGAAAAATGTAGCCGAATTGCTAAGACAATATGGAGAATTTTAACGTTATTAGTCTAGTATTAGATGATATTAAATATGTACTTTCGCATAATACTAATAAGGTTTACTAAAACTTACAGCAACAAGAAAATCAATCAAGAAACTGCAACAAGC